GAGAGTCATCGATCAGTTGCCTCTTGCACACCTCCTACTGGGGATATGCCCGCAACCAAGGTACATTCGATTCCTTGACCGGAATCGAATCTGGGACCCTTCAGTCCCCAAGCCGATGCTCTATCCATTGAGCCAAACCGGTCTCCGCTGATCCTCCCATTTGCATCCTCATCTGTTTCCTGCCTCTATTCTGTAGCTCTGTTGCTCTTTCTCTCACTTCTGGATCCTCTGGCCCTGGAAGTGAACTCTTCTTCTTCATGTTCACAAGCAGGGCACATCGAGGGCATTGGCTTCAGGTCCCCAAGGGGCACAGAGGGCATCGCTGCCCTGCACAGAGGATGTTTGCATCACTTCCTGTCTACAGTAGCTGTAAATATGTTTGATTTCCTCCTTACGACAGCGATTTTCAGCCAGTGCACTGCAGCACGCTTGCAAGAAAAAAAACCTTGCAATGCCTGACTATTTAGTCAGGGGCTCTGACCTCGTTCCCTGAAATTGTCAAATTCAAAAGACAACAATAACCACCTGGTGTGAATGAGTCAAAATTATACCTTTTTTTCTGTCAGATCAGCATATATATATATATATATATATATATATATATATATATATTAGTAATTAGTTTATCTGTACCATGAAATAAAAAAATAAAATAAAAGGTGAGAAATTGCCGATTTAAGAATAGTCAGCAGCATTTTAAAATTTCTAATTAATGTGTGTTTGGGAGGTGGGTCTTGTTTTACTCCATTAGGTTAGAAACTGTTCCTTCAAATTCCTGCTCTCGTACATCACCAATGGTGAAATTAATAGCTGTGACAATGTCCTTGCCACTCAGACGATGTCTCTGTGGGGCTGGAGTTTGGGAGGACTGCAGGCTGTGTCCGCCTCCATCCTGTGCCCTTTTTGTCCCTGGATCAGTCTGGATCTCTGCGATCCAGGGTGGTGTGTCCCTGCCCCCGTTTGAGGAGAGCCCTGTCCACTCTCTCTTATGTTTATACTAGAGGTCTGGTGCACGAAATCTGTGCACTGTGGGGGGCGGTCCCTCAGCCTGGCCTGCACCCTCTCAAAGTCTAAGAGCCCTTGGGGGGATGTCTGACTGTAGGCTTAGGCCCACTCTTCACAATCAGACATCCTTAGCGCTGCCAAGGCAGGAGAGGCTCCCGCTGCCACCACCACCGCTGTGCTCACCAGCCTCGATCCCGTCTCAGGGCTTCTGGCTGAGTGGCACTCTCCCTGGTGGTCAGTGCATATCATAGCAACTGGTCGTTCCACTGTTCCGGTTGATTTGCATATTAGCCTTTTATTATATAGGATAAAACAGATAAAACAGATCCCATGCTGACACTCTGTCTTTGATTTTAAAAGGCGAAGGCCTCTTTAAAATCCATTGTGACATTTGCTTTTCTTCATAAAACTGACTCATCTGCCTGGACAGAGGGACCCCTGCCTTCCCTTCCTTCTCACTCTCCCCCTCAGAGCGTCATGTCTGCTCACGGCTCCCTGTCACTTGGTTTGTGGTCTCTTGTCAGCCAGCACTCAGGAGGGCTTATTCTCTGACCACAACAGTCAAGGGCAAGCTCCCATGGCAAGTGCTGATGGTCAGTGTGGCTATGGCAGCTTGAGTGGCCTCATCTGAGGGTCCGTACTTTGGCAAAGCCTTCATCTTTGACGGGAAGCCTGAACCAACGCCAGCTTCCCATCCTGACTCAAACGCGATGCTTCCCCCTGCTTCTTGCCCAAAGTTGTGTTTCTCTTGTAATGTTCCCTTTTTCTTCTGTCATTTACCAAATATGGATATTTTTCATGTGAGTGTGGGTGATTTGGAAGGAGTATGTGTTCCTTCTAATGCTCCTTCTGCATCTCAGAACCTGGCCGGCGCTTTGTTTGTGGTGAGGGGGGACCCCCTGTAGCTATGTTCTTGGGGTGTGGAGAGGAGGGCTCCGGGCCCAGGCTCTGGGGAAGCTGGCTGGTACAGAGGATGTGGGAATACCACCTCCTACAGTTTCCAACAATTGTGCCATCTCTCCCCTGGTGGGCAGGGTCTAGGTCCTCATGGGCCCGTGGGGCCTGGAGTTTCTCAAAATGCCTAACTTAGGGTTTGGCACCTTGAGTCTTGGTGAAGGGTGCTTCCTGGACCCAGGGAGATTGCAGCCTGGCTGGTGGGAGGGCACTCAGGCCTCTAGCAAGGGGTGGCAAGGGGCTGCCCATCAGAGGACCACCTCTGGCATGAGCTGTGCAGGCCTAGGCTCAGGTGTCCTGGCTGGAACCTGCACCCTCTCTCCTTGGCTCAGCCTGGGGCTCCCACTCGCCTGTTCGTTCTCCTGCCAACTGTCCTTGCGAGTCCAGAGCACTCGGGTGCCAGGTGCCGAGGCCGCTCCACACATGATCACTAACCAAACCTGTCCTCTCCAGTCACACAGAGGAAACTGAGGCAGAGTGAGCTGCTGAGGCAGGCCTGCCACCCAGGCTCGGGCACTACGCCATGCTGAGGCTGCCTCAGAACAACGCCCGGAGGAGGGCTTGGTCTCTGTGTGTCCACAGCCCGGATTCAGGTGAGGCCTTGGCCTCTGAGGTCTGGTTCTGGCTGCCATGCACAGCCCGTGTGGGCCTGCGCCCCGAGGTCCCGTGAGGAGAGTCCTGCCTGGTTCAGCTTAACCACCGCTGAGAGGAGGGCTGACTCTGGCCTCCGCAATCTGCCTCTCTCCCTCCGTCTGCCCTCTGAGCTCCCAGAGCCCCATGTGCCGGCTGTCCTGCCCCCACTTGCCTGTGAGTTGGGGTGGGGCATCCGCAATGGCTGTCCCTGCAGGGAATTAGAAGTAACAATGGACAGAGGGCAGTCCCCCTTCCCACCCCTGCCCGGCTTCCTGTGGTCAAGGTCAGGACCTTGTGGCCTGTGGGCCCTGCCCTAACCAAGTGCACTCCCCTCGCTGTGGGAGGAAGTGCTCTGAGCATAACCGTGCCCAAGTCCTGCTGCTGCTCGGGCCTCAGTTTCCCTGTGTGAAGACCCGGGGGGTGTACAAGCTGGTTGTGGTGAATATTTGGGGGTTCGGGTCTGTGGCAACAGGAGGGAAGGCAGAGCTGCGTACGCAGGTCCTGCCCCAGACCTGGGGGGACCCTTTCACCTCACCAGACCGCAACATGGATGGGACACTTGGGGAAGAGACTCACTGTCCTCTGCCTGGAGCTGCCCCAGCCTCAGAAGTGGGGTGCTATTCTGGGGGCGACTGGTCCTTGCCCCCTGGGGCAGTGCACGTCAGCTGAGGGTTCAGTGGGCACACTCAGGCACCAGTCCAGCCGCCAAACTTTGGGGTGCCCGGATGGAGAGCTGAGAGCAGCCTTGGCCTGAGCCCCATGGCCCATGATGGGGAGTCCACACATGGGGAACCCAGCGTGAACCGAAACCGCTTCTCAGGCTGGCCGCTGCTGAGGCCCGGGAAGCCAGAGTCGCAGGAGTTCTGCTTTCTACCTGTTCTGGGAGAACCAAGGGTTCTGCTTTGACATTTCTGGGTCCTGAGTACAATCTTGGCGGGAAGCCTCCAAAAAGACAGGAACTTGGCACAGCAGGGGAGAGAGGAGTGGGGACGGCAGGATCCACCCCACAGGGTGCACCCCGAGACCCATGGCAGGGACCACACACTCCCAGAGCCCTACAGGTCACGGCAGGAGCCATGCAGGCCCCAGAACAGGCAGGTGGCTCCGGGTTGGGCCTCTGGCAGCCTGGGTAGACCCACACCGACTAGGGGCTCTGAGGCCTCCCTGGAGGCCCACCACCACGGCAGGGTGTGGGCGGGAGGGCGCCCCAGGAACCTCAGAGGCCCGCCCCGCTCCGAAGAGAGCATCTGGCATTCGCACTACCTAGGAAGGGAGGGAGGGGGGGCTGTGTTGATGTTTACTTCTGATAAAGAATGGCTCCTTCCTGCCTGCCACCTCCCGGTTGCCACAGTCTCAGCACCTTCTCCGCTTCCTTGGTGTCAGATAAAAGGTCACAGTCAGCTGCAGGGTTCTCAGACCCGGAGGCCACCCAGCCAGGAAGCCCAGCCTCCCCTCCCTGGTGTTCTGAAGGGTCAGGGCTGCCTTGTGCCCAGCCTGGGTTTGTAGCCCCCATGACGCCCCCTTTCTGGGCCCTGCCCAGTGGGCGGTGGGTGAGAAGGCCCTGCCTCTGCCTCCGAGAACCAGGACAGAACTAGAACGTGAGGCCTCCGACCCCACAGCCACGTCGCCCCTGGGAGCATCAGCAGTGACCACTGCATGAGCCACTTTCCTCGATGCCCTGCCCACACCTTCCCCCTGGCACCAGGTTTGCAAAGACAGCGGGTGTACACCAAGGAAAGCAGAATAACGGCCAGCTGCAGCTAGTGCCTTGGGCGGGCAGGTGGCGGCTCTGCATAGCCCTCCTCACTCCCAGGTGCAGAGTGCCTTCTCTGCTGCCGCCGCCTGCCAGAGGCTGGGCCTCCCGAGTCCCTGATCTGAGCTCAGTGCTCAGGGAGCACTCAGGGAGAACAAAGGGCCCACCGCCCTGAGCCAGGGTGTGTGGCATCAAATGTGTGTATGTGGTAGGTATGCATTTGTTTGTGATGTGTGTGGTGGGTGCACACATGTATGCATGTGTGTGCTGTGTGGCTCCTATGTGTGTCCTCTGTGTGAACATGCATATGCTTGTGTGATGGGTATGAGGGTTTGTGCGTGCTTGTGTGCACCTGTGTGCACTTGTGTGGTGTGGATGTGTGACTGTGGGTGTGCAAGTTCAAGTGGACCCAGTTCAAGTGTGCTACTGGCCTGAGGCCCCCTCTGCTTACCCTTGGAGGCCCGGCAGGTCAGGTGTATGATAGCTGCCTGGCAGGGCAGTCACGAAGACGGGCCAGTGCTGGCCTCATCCAGATGCCAGATGCCTCCAGCAGCAGGGCAGGGCCTCCCGGCTCTGCATCTCCAGGCTCATGGGGGAGGGCTCCGTGGGCGGTCAGCCCCAGACGCTGTCACTGACACCCGTCCCTCCACAGGAAATGCTGCGTCCGCACTCCCTGCTGCTCGCCCTGTGGGCTCTGCTCTCCCTCAGGTCTGGTGAGTTCTGTGGGACATTCCTAGTCAGGAATGATGGGTCCTGCCGGCCAACCCTTCAGGAGGCCCCTGCCTGGATCCTGGCAGGCACATGCCCCTGGTTGGTCCCATCCTTCCTGGTCCTTCTGCTATCCCTCCCTCTCCTTCCACACCCCGCTGGCGGGCCTGGTCCTCTGTCCACCCCATTCACGATAGCAGCCCCTTGTGCCAACCGGCTTTCGTACGGGGTCAGCAGCCCTGCTCACCGAGTCGGTCTCATCTCGCCCCCAGTCCTCTCCCAGGAGTGCACCAAATACAAGGTCAGCACCTGCCGGGACTGCATCGAGTCGGGGCCCGGCTGTGCCTGGTGCCAGAAGCTGGTAAGAGCTGCCTTCCTGGCCAGTCCTTCCGCCTCCCGGGCTGGACCCCCTTTCTCTGCCTCTGAAACTGCGGGCACCCAGGACCACCCCCGGGCCCTTTCCTCATGGGGCAGGAGCAGAGCAGGTCTCAGGGTTGCTGACTCACAGAGAGACAGACAGACAGGCCCGACCCCTGTCCTGGGGCCGCTTGGAAGCTGACCAGAGAGGGAGGCTGTGTTAGGTGAGGACAGGCCCTAGTGGGCTGCTGCTGGAAGAGGCGCAAACTGACTGCCCCCCCTCCCCATGTGGTCCGGGAGCCTCACGGAGAAGCTATGGGAGATGGGTGTCTCCCTGGGGACCGTCCAGCTCCCCACCTCACCCCCGTGTTGTAGGGATGCTTGTCTTGCATGCCAGAGCAGATGAGGAGGGTCAGCCTCTTCCAGTGACCATGCAGGTCAGCTTCACCAACTCCCACCACGTGGGCCCGCCATATTTCTCCTCCTTCCCCGTGACGCCCCTCCCAGAACTTCTCCAGGCCCGGGGAGCCCGACTCCGTTCGCTGCGACACGAGGGCAGAGCTGCTGTCTAAGGGCTGTGCGGCCGATGACATCATGGACCCCAGAAGCTTCGCTGAGACCACGGAGAACCAGCAGGGGGGCCAGAAGCAACTGTTCCCACAGAAAGTGAAGCTCCACCTGAGACCCGGTAGGCTCGGTTCTGACAGGGGTTCTGTAGCCGGGGACCCGGGTGTCTTTTAGCCCTGCGCTCTGTATTCTTTGTAAAACAGAGGGGGGGAAAAATCACCTGGAAAACACCCTTCTATTCCCCTTGATAAGTCAAGGTTCTGATAAGTCCCACAGCCAGCAACCCGAATAACCATTTTTTTAAAAAATATATTTTATTGATTTTTACAGAGAGGAAGGGAGAGAGACAGAGAGCTAGAAACCGATGAGAGAGAAACATCGACCAGCTGCCTCTTGCACACCCCCTACTGGGGATGTGCCCGCAACCAACGAACATGCCCCTGACCGGAATCGAACCTGGGACCTTTCAGTCCGCAGACCGACGCTCTAACACTGAGCCAAACCGGTTTCGGCCTGAATAACCATTTTAACCAGCTATGCCCAAACCGACTTGCCCCTCGCTCTCTCCCATCTGCACGGCAGGTCAGGAGGCTGTGTTCAATGTGACCTTCCGGCGCGCCAAGGGCTACCCCATCGACCTGTACTACCTGATGGACCTGTCCTACTCCATGCTTGACGACCTCATCAACGTCAAGAAGCTGGGGGGTGACCTGCTTCGGGCCCTCAACGACATCACCGAGTCTGGCCGCGTTGGTGAGGGCCACCCACCGAGTCCTGCCTGCCCAGAACCTCAGCTGGCCCTGCTGCCCACACACCTCCTCCCACCCATGTCCTGACGGGCAGGGTACTGGGGGCTTCATGCAGTGTCCCTATGTGCACCCTCACCAAGGCCATACCGGGGGCTGGCTCTCCTGACACTGCCCCTCCCTCCCTCCCTCTCCTCTCCCTCTGTCTCCTTTTGTTTGCTCTTTAATATGTTTGAAAGACAATAGTCCTACAGTGCTAGTTATTAAAAAAAAAAAATTAAAGATCACATGCATATATAGACTGCAGAGTAATCACAGTCTTAATGAAATAACTGCACAAATATGTACACAGATAATAATTTAATTAAAAAAAAAAAAAGAAATAACCTCACGTGCACGTGCACACACACACACACGCACGCACGCACGCACGCACAGCCCTGACCTCCGGGCCAAGGGGCCTCAGCTCTTGACAAGCAGGGACTCGTTTACAAAGGGCATGTGTGTGAGGGAAATGGGACATCCCACCCTCATCTCTGCCTCCTGCCGGGTGGTTGTCTCCATGTGTGGGGACACACACAAACACACACACACACACACACATACATACCTAATTACACATGTGTACACACTTGGACACACACATCCCACGGGCGATCTTACCTTCTCCCCGCTCTGTATCAAGTAGGGAAACCGAGGCTCTTCCGCCCTCATTTCCTCCCCCCCTTTCACCACCACCCACCCTCCAGGCTTGTGGCCCTGCCCTCCCACCACCTGGTGCCACCTCTGCCACCCACACTAACCCTTGTTGTCCCTCAGGCTTTGGGTCCTTTGTGGATAAGACAGTGCTCCCCTTTGTCAACACGCACCCCGAGAAGCTCCGGAACCCGTGCCCCAACAAGGAGAAGGCGTGCCAGCCCCCGTTTGCCTTCAAGCACGTGCTGAAGCTCACGGACAACTCCAGCCAGTTCCAGACGGAGGTCGGGAAGCAGCTGATCTCTGGGAACCTGGACGCCCCCGAGGGCGGGCTGGATGCCATGATGCAGGTCGCAGCCTGCCTGGTAAGGCCCTGTCCCTGCCCCGTCCCTGGATCTCCCCGATGGGGACCCCGGTCCCGCAGCCACAGGTGCCACCTTCACCTTGAACACCCTGAGGGCACCCTCCACTCACCCAGAAATGTCACTATTAGTTTGTGGCATGGGGCACATCTTCTCAAGCCTAAATAGATGCAAAGGATCTTATAAGATCCCTGGAGCAGAATCACCCCCAACTTCTTGGGAAATAAGGGGTGTCCTCTGAGGTTCTACCATGTCGTGTGGCTTAGGCGGCCATATCTGGCCTGTCCCTCCCCCAGTGGCCTCCCCTGCTCCTGGCTGCCCGCTTGCCTTCGAGTCCTGCCTGGTCGGCCCACTCACTGGATTTATGATGTAAATAGTACAATACCACCGACCCCGTATTTTTTAAATATATTTTTATTGATTTTTTTTTTTTTTTTTTTTTTTACAGAGAGCAAGGGAGAGGGGTAGATAGTTAGAAATATCAATGAGAGAGAAACATCAATCAGCTGCCTCCTGCAGACCTCCTACTGAGGATGTGCCCACAACCAAAGTACATGCCCCTGATCGGAATCGAACCCGGAACCTTTCAGTCTGCAGGCCGATGCTCTATCCATTCTGCCAAACTGGTTAGGGCCCAGCCCCGTACTTTTAGCCTCTCAGTCCCGACCCTTTGCAAACTGGCTTCCAATCCTCCAGCTTCTCTGCGGATTGTCCCTGCGTCGCAGACACACTTCGTTTGTGTGTGATGTCACAGTGATGACACGCATGTGACACATGTGCCTGACTCATCTCCCGTTTCGGGGCCCCTTGAGTTCTTCGCTCTTGGTGTCTGCAGTGTTTTTACGTTGTGATACACATTTCTACGAGTATTTTCTTTCCTTCTTCGGAACAGTTCCTTCGGGTTTAGGCTCAGGTCCACATTGATGGGGCCTGGGAGGACCCATGTGTTTTCATGTAAACAGGCTTTGCAGCTCCCCTCTGTGTCCCGCACATTCGCTGGGCTTTTGGGAACTTGTCATTGTAAAGATGTACCTCCAGCCCCAGGCACTGGAGCCTGGACCCGAGTCGAGGAGCTGGTCCCGGCCTGGTTCCCGTCTCTGGGTCATCCAGCCTGGAAACCCCTCTGTGTGGGGTGGGACACAGCACTTCGTCAGCTCTCCTCTGGGAGGGCACCCCACGGAGGAAACCGAGGCAGGTAACCCCGCCCTCTCCTTCTCAGGAGGAAATTGGCTGGCGCAATGTCACGCGGCTGCTGGTGTTCGCCACGGACGATGGCTTCCACTTTGCAGGCGACGGGAAGCTGGGAGCCATCCTGACCCCCAACGATGGCCACTGCCACCTGGAGGACAGCATGTACAAAAGAAGCAACGAGTTTGTGAGTGTCCCTCCCGGTCCTCGTTGGGGTGGGGGGGGGGCGTTGCTCTGGGGACCACAGAGGAAACCGTGGGCCGAAAGGGGAAGTCCAGGGGGGTCAGTAGTTCTGTCCAGGGAGACCGGAGACCAAGGTCACTCCAGGCCAGCTGAGGAAGCACATCTGGAGGGTCAGAGGGGGTGCAGCCGCGGGCCTGAGCCATCACCTTTCACCTGGCCTGCTGTGAACGATGCTCTGCACCCTGAAACCGTAAACTCTGGGTGCTTCGAAGCAATCAGGTGACCTCCACCTAGAGCCAGTAGACCGCAGGGGAGGGAGCTGGTGGGTAGAGCTCAGGGGTCCACAACTCGGACAGGAAAGAGATACCCCCTGAGGTTCTGGTGAAGCTCTGCCTGAAGCTGAGACTGCCCTCGTTTATGAAAATAAGGTGCCGGTGCTGGGGCGGCTGTGAGGTTTTGCCCCTGATAGAAGTCAGAGGAATTCCCAGCACACACAAGCACAGAGACTCCAACATTATGTTCAATCTCGTCTCTACTTTGCACGTCAGGGAGTGGTGACTGGCCGTGAGGTTTCTTCTTAAGAGCACTGATCCAAAGCATCCCACATGTTTAACATTTTCTGGTCAACGATGGTTGTCAGTGCCAATGGGAATCACCACGTGTAAACAGCTCAGTTATGGTAAAGCATGACTGTGCGGTTGCCCGGGGTGGCCCCTCGGTCCTGGTGTTGCAGCTTGGTCCCCTCGGGCTAGACAGCACTGCTCTGCTCCAGTCCACAGTGGTCCGGTCTGCTGAGTGGCTCTGCTCTGCTCAAGGGTAAACAGCTCAACACAGAGAAACAGTCTTTGGTGGGAAGGGAAAATGCCTTCCCCAACCAGGCTAAAGGGAGAGAAGTCCCTGCCCCTGATCACTGATGGGTGCCTTCTCAGGCAAATGAGCATTCCAAATCCTCATGATATGATTGGCCCCAAAAGCACTATCCTGATTGGTCCGAATGGAGCCACTCTGATTGGTCAGGGAAGATGCTGATGAGGATCTAATTGTGTGGTGCCAATTGGACCTGGAAAGTCTCAGTCCAACTAGTTGAAATATTAATACAATCCCAGGAGCTTCTTTATAAGGACTGCCTCCGATGGCAGGAGCGCAGTGCAGGCAGGTGGAAGCCAGGAGAAGGGGGTCAGTGGGAAAAAAGGGGGATCATCTGTAATATTTTCAACAATAAAGATGAATTTAAAAAGAAAAAAAGAGGCAGGCAGTTTAGTGCAGGCTTCTCCCTGAAGTGTGTCATGCATGAGAGGCCCCCGTTCAGTAATGGCTTCTGGGTTGTGTTTTTTACATTTGAGCCCAGTTACCCTAAGAGCCCTTCTTGCAAGTGATCGTTCTGCTCAGTGTCCCACCTCCTTAACTGTGTTTTAATATGACTGGTTTCCCTCTTCATCTTATTGCTTTATGCATTTGTCAACATCATCCGGAAGGGCTCCTCGGACAGCACGTGGAAGGGCTCAGCTCCGGCCCCGCACAGGCACCCCTGCTGCGTGGTATGGGTGGTTGGCCTGGGCAGCTTGCCTGGCCTTGGCTTATCTGACTGGGTGTCTCCTCTTCAGGACTACCCGTCGGTGGGCCAGCTGGCACATAAACTGGCTGAAAACAACATCCAGCCCATCTTTGCTGTAACCAAGAAAATGGTGAAAACCTATGAGGTAAGTGGCCTTGAGGTTTTGGGCAACAGGGCAGGACCCAGCCATTTCAGCGTTACCACAGGCTGAGTTCCGCTTCCGCGTGCCCGGCGTCTGGGGCAGGCGGCCACGGGGGGCCACGGGGTTAGGAGCATGAACACGGGAGTAGGGAGTCCGAGGCCTCTTTCTGCCACATGATATTTCTGTGTGGATGAAAGAGGACGGTTTCCCTTGGAATTTAGCATATTTGTGGTGTACATCTTGGCATTGGTTCTGACATTTTCATTTTGCTTCCAGATAGCAAGTGTGGTGGGTTAGTCCTGCTTCCTCAGAGCACAGCAGAGACCCACAGTTGGGAGGGAGGGAGGGAGTGGTTGAGGCTGGAGGGGGTTGGGGGCCAGGCTGTATCAGCTCTCCTGAGCAGCATTCATCTCTGCATGGTGGGAACACTGTCTAACCGTGGCAAGCCACATCTCTCCACAGCTCTATGTTCAGTGCTATCAGTAGTGTGAAATCCACCCAGGTGGAGTATTTACACCAAAGAAATTGGCAAACGCTACAGCTCAGGGTTTTTCCCCCCTGAGAACCCGATGTTAGCAATTTACCAGCACACCACTGACCATGCACTGTCTTAAAGACTGTAAGAAATCGGGTGGAGGGGGTGATGGTTTGAATCATCTTACAAGCAAGGAGGAACCCTCTAAGGTTTCCATGGTCCCAGAGTTCCAACCTGTGTCCCAGCTGGTCTTCTTGCCTTGCAGAAGCTCACCGAGATTATCCCCAAATCGGCGGTTGGGGAGCTGTCAGAGGACTCCAGCAACGTGGTCCAGCTCATTAAGGACGCCTACAATGTGAGTCCCCGGGTGCTTTGCTGGGGGCTGGACACTCAGCACAGATGCCACGCCCTGCACGTCAATAAAAGGGTGGCCTGGGCAGGAGTGCATTGTATGCAGCACCCTTGGGCCTTGTGAACAAACTGACCCTGGGCTTCCCACAGGGCAGCTGTGTTCTAGCGTGTTGATGGTGTGGTATGTACGACAATTGACCCTCACCAGTGCTTTCTCTGAAACATGGACCCCCAAGTTCACCCAGGTTCAAGGCCAAAGGTCCTGATGGCTTCACCGAGCCAAGTTCACTGGGAGCACCCGATAAACACGGATGCCATTGACTTTAGTTAGAGCCCCACTGAGGAGGTTCTGATGGATTCTTGTACGCTCTTGGAGCCCTATTTCCCCCCAAAACAGGCCCTCCTGAACCCCAGCAGCTGCCTGTGAATTATCTCATCTTTTCTGAAATGATGCTCATTCACCATCTTTCTATCTCTCTCCCTCTCCCTCTCTCTCTCTCTCTCTCTCTCTCTCTCTCTCTCTCTCTCTCTCTGACTGTCTTTCTATCTCATTCTCTCTGTCCCTGTCTCCCATGCACCTAAATAGTTTTCCACTCCTACCTGAGCCAGGCACTGGGGGATTCAATGGTGAGTGGGAAGGCCAACCCTCCTTTCTTATGGCGTTGAGATCAGTCTCCATGTTGGTCTTCCCATTGGCCTGTCTCGAGGGCAGGGCCGCTGTGTTGGTAACCCTAACCCTTGCTGCACAGACACAGGACCAAGCGCCTACCCGGCTCTCAATGTGCCTGTGGGCGAAGGGAGAGGGATGCGAAATGGGAAGGTGTGCAAAAGCCTTCGCCTGGAAAGGCGCGGGGGTGGCAGAACGATCCTTCTTAATCAGCAGCCACTCTTTGCCCACAGAAACTCTCCTCCAGAGTCTTTCTGGAACATAGCACCCTCCCCAACAACCTGAAAGTCACCTACGACTCCTTCTGCAGCAACGGGGTTTCACAAGTGAACCGGCCTAAAGGGGACTGTGACGGTGTCCAGATCAACGTCCCGGTGAGGTTCCATCCCCACATCCCCCCAGTAACAGCTAGAAGGAAGGGCACCCAGGTGAGAGGGAAGGGCTTAGGAACACGTCAGGGGCAGGAGCCCCAGGCCCACCGGGCCTGAAGTTCCCTTCGTCTAATCCCCTCAGAGGCGAAACGGTGTAAGTTTATATCTTACCTGTTAAGGGGGACAAGTGGTGGGTGCACTTAGCACCGTCCTTGGCAGGAGCATCCTAGTTATCAACACCGAAGACCTCCCTGGTGTAGCGGTAATGACCACGAGGTCTGCAGCGCCCCCTGGGGGCAGACGCTGGAACAGCGTGTCCCCTCCGAGAAGGGCATTCCTTTCCCATACAACGCTTCTGGATTGGTTTTCCTGATTTATGGTTTTGTTTGTTTGCCGAAAACATGAAAGCATGGGCCAAGCAGATGAACAGAAATAAGCACTGACTTATTTCCCTAGTATTTTTAATGTATTATGACCATAACAATTACATTTTTCTTTCACTGGCTGTGAACTAATATCTAGCGAAATAGTTGCTTACATTACATTTTACAACATAACATTAGGAGTATTTCAAACATGTTACCTACTAAATGTTACATGTGAATGTTTGCCAAAATATCTTCTTCTTGCCCTACGTGATTCACATGGGAATTTATTTAATCCTGTGGCTGGCTGCTTGCTTCTTATACACACATTTTTCCCCCTGACATTTCTGCTTGTTGTTAATGTACCGTTTGGAAATTCATTAAAATTGATTTGGGGATACCTTTGCTCTCTTTTTAAAAATATATTTTTTTATTGATTTCAGAGGGGAATGGAAAGGGAGAGGAAGATAGAAACACCAATGATGGGAGAGAGTCATTGATGGGCTGCCTCCTGCACGCATCGAGCCCTCAACTGGGGCATGTGCCCGACCGTGATCTTTGGGTTCATGGTCGACTATCAACCAGTGAACCGCGGCTGGGCAGGGCGTGCCTTGCTCTCCACAAGCCGGCGCTCCCCGAAGCTCAGTGCCGGTGACCACTTCAAGTGTGCTCCGTCCCAACTCTGACCTCTCAGGCATGATCTTGACCCTTTATTCAAGGTCAGAACACAATTCTACACTCAGAACTTAGGACCTCCAGTGGGATTCAGGCACCTTAGCATGCTGGGCTTAGTGGGAAAGTATATGTTCTTTACAAAGTCACTTTAAAAAACACCTTTAGAACACTTGTGCCATAGAAAGTATTCTAAGAACCATCCCCCAGCCCAAGTCCCAGCCAGAACTGGTGGGTCTGTGGGTCGGTGGGTCAGGGAGCCCCATGTGCCTGCTGACCTCCATGTTCCAGTATGTCACCGTTTTCTCACCTCCAGTCCCAAGTTCCAGAGAAGCCCCAAGCATTCTGCGTTTTCCCCCTTCCCCGACCTCCATGGACTCCCTCTCGGGACCCCGAGTCCTGCATCCTTCATGCCTGGAAGCAGGGTCCTGACCTCTCCTGAGCCCTGTTGTTCCCCACACAGGTCACCTTCCAGGTGAAGGTCACGGCCACAGAGTGTGTCCAGGAGCAATCATTTGTCATTCGGGCGCTGGGCTTCACAGACACCGTGACCGTGAGCATACTTCCCCAGTGCGAGTGCCAGTGCAGGGACCGGAGCCAGGACCGCAGCACCTGTGGTGGCAAGGGCTCCGTGGAGTGTGGCATCTGCAAGTGAGCCTCCCCCCACACCCCCACATCCCTTCACACACTCCCTCCCCACCTCTGGGCCAGGAGCCACACACAGCAGCAGAGGCCCTGGGGGAGTTGCCCTGAGCGGTGTCCCTCCCGTCCCAGGTGCGATGCTGGCTACCTGGGGAAGAACTGTGAGTGCCAGACTCAGGGCCGGAGCAGCCAGGATCTGGAAGGAAACTGCCGGAAAGACAACAGCTCCATCATTTGCTCGGGGCTGGGGGACTGCATCTGCGGGCAGTGTGTGTGCCACGCAAGCGACGTGCCCAAAAAGAAGATCTTTGGGCTTTTCTGCGAATGTGACAACGTCAACTGCGAGCGCTTCAATGGCCAGATCTGCGGGGGCGAAGGTGAGTTCTCAGTGGTGGTGCTGGGGACGGAGGGCCCCACAGACCCCCAGGAGCAGGTCCTGGGTGTGGGCCCGTGGTGAGTGGAAGGCCAGTTGGGTGGGGCTGGCGCCGGGCAGGGGGTGATTCTGCGTGGTCCCCCCCCCCCCCCCCGCTGTCTCCCAGAACGCGGGGAATGCGAATGCGGCAAGTGCAAATGCAAAGAGGGCATCGACGGCTCGGCCTGCCAGTGCGACAAGTCCCCAGATAGCTGCAGAAACCCGCAGGGGTCCGTTTGCAGTGGCCGCGGCCAGTGCATCTGCAACGTGTGCCAGTGCGACAAGGGCTACCAGCTGCCCTATTGTGAAGAATGCCCGGGCTGCGAGTCGCCCTGCACCCATAGCGTGTAAGTGCTCCCTCCACTGGACCCGTGCACGTGCCAGCTCCCAGCAGAAACCCACCACCCGGCTGAGGCCCCAGGGGGAAGTGGGGGCCTTCCGCATGCACCTGCTGCTGTCCTTCCACTCCGGGTCGCTGCCCATCTTGGACCCCATCTGTCAGGCTTCCAGGTCCCAGGGGCTCTGCCCACCTCCTGCCCCAGCCACACAGGCACCAGTGTCAGCCCCACAGCACCCCGCACCAGCCCCACCTGCCACCCTGGTGCCCAGACGCTGGCACTCTCTCATGGGTCACACCCTGGCACGTGTCTCACACCGTCTCCCTCCCGGGCGCACACGTGCTCACGCAGTAGCTCTCCCACAGCTCCTGTGCCGAGTGCCTGAAATTCGACAAGGGCCCCTTCATGAAGAACTGCAGTGCAGCGTGTGCGAACATAACAGTGCCGGAGAAGGAAGATGACCTGGAACTATTCAAGAGCTTCAAGCAGACCCGGAACTGCAAAGAGCGGGACTCAGAGGGCTGCTGGCTGAACTACACCATGAGGCAGCTGGTGGGGAGGGGCAAATATCACATCCTGGTGGAAGACATTCGAGGTGAGGCCCTGCCAGGTGGGACGTGGGCGCCGGGACTCCGGCTGCGCAGGGCCCTCTCCTTGTGGGAAGGCAGACTGGCGGGGTCAGCAGGAGGTCTCGGACTGTGGTCCGCCTGCCCCAGACCCTCTCCCCGTCTCTGAGCTCACCTCCTGGTGCATGATGGGCAGTGGATGGACTGTGCCCTTGGCTCAAGGGGACAGGACACCCCTGGAGGGAATTCATGACCCAAGCTGGTAGTCACCCACAGACACTGATCCAGTCCCGGGGCCCTGTCCAGGGACCGCTCTGTGGCCTGTGGTGGACAATTTCATGCTCAGAGCTCAGCCCTGGAGTGGGGGGTCAAAGGGCCCTGAGCGACCAGGGGCTGCATTTCCCAAGCGCTGCTCACTGTCCGCTTACTCAGCTCGAGGTCAGTACCGGGCTCCCAAAATGGTGAAGAACATGGAAATACCAACCCTGTCATCACGGGTTTCATGTGCGATGGGTTTGGACCCCCTCAGCCAGCACCTCAGAACGCTAGTGTCTCCGGCTGGGGACCCTAGGTGCAAAGGCCATGTCAGCGGATGCTTCCTGAGGTCAGAGGTTAACAGGTCTCTCCGAGGAGGACACATTGCAGCTCAGAGCAGAGGATGAGAGCGTCCAGACATGGGGGACAGAGAGTGTGCTGTCAGAGGCCCGTCATTCGAGGGCCCTGTGAGTCCTGGGAGGCCTTCGGGTCTCTTTTCAAACATAGGAGGGAGCTCTTAGAATTTCAGGAGAGTGGGGGACACATCTGGACTATGTTTTCCAAAACCCGACCCGTCGGGGAGGCGGGGCGAGTGAACATAGGACTTCCAGGTGGGCACAGACCTGGATGGGCTGCTTGAGGGCCAGTTGCTAAATTTGAAGATGGATAGGGTGGGTTGGGCTGGGTCCTGGAGTATTGAGAACGGAGGAGGGGCCTGCCCATAGATGGAACATGGGGACCTAAGCAGGAGAAATGAGGAGCAGGTGCAGGATCCACAGGCTGTGACGGGTGGTGGGTTAGGTTAATTCCCAGGAGGTACATGGAGTAACAATGACAGAGCATATGTGGGATGCTGGGGCTTATAGTAAACAGAGCTCCCGTGGGATGGTTTAAGAGCGTTAGACAAGCAACATGGGGAGCCCACAAACTCTCAGCACCCCCACCCTGTTCCCTCTCAAAGAGGCTGAGGGGAGCACAGAGCTGGGATGCCCGGCTGCTCATATGACTGCACATGGACCAGCAGTGCACCGTGGCCCTTGCTAAACTGAGACCTGCTCTCAGCTCCCTTCCCGACCACGAGCCCTCGCGTGGCCCATAGAGCACAAGCTTGGTCACACGCCGTGTCCCATCCATGCTGTGCTCTGATTGGCTGGTAACCTGGGCCCTCTTGCTTTGTAAACAAGAGTCCTCACAGTTGCATTTGGAACTGCATGGCTTGGCCTTGTCCCCACCTTTGCCCTGACCCAGAGTGGGTCAGACTGTTCGCTCCACTACCGGTGGCTGCCAGCTCTGTCCACCTGACCTGGGGTGGGGCGGGCACGAACCTGGTAGCTGGGGAGGGCCTGACACTCGGTGTTTATCTGCTTCCTCCTCACCTTAGTGTGTCCACAAGGTCCCAATGTAGGGGCCATCGTGGGAGGCACCCTGGCAGGAGTCGTGCTGATCGGCGTCCTCCTGCTGGTCATCTGGAAAGCTCTGACCCACCTGACTGACCTCCGGGAGTACAAGCGCTTTGAGAAGGAGAAGCTCAAGTCTCAGTGGAACAACGTGAGTGGCCATCCCCGGGGGCCGAGGCAGCTGGTCCCGCATGGAACCCCCACAATGTGGCTACCGCCTGTCCCCCATCCTCAGAGCTGCTGAGTGCAAGCCCTGCCAATGGGACTAGAACCTGCAGGAGGGTCACCCCGATCTAAGCTCTTCCCTTCCTTGTGCTCACAAGTCTCATTTGCTTTTCTCACCAGGATAACCCCCTTTTCAAGAGTGCCACCACGACAGTCATGAACCCCAAGTTTGCTGAGAGTTAGGGGCACTAGTAGAAGATAAGATCGTCTGAGCTGACCAGATGGAATCACCCCCAGACCACGTCTCCTCCATCAGGCTGGCCGTGACCCTGCTCCATGGATGTGGCTTGCAATGCCTGACAATTTCATCTATTAACTAGAAATCCACTATTATTTTCTGCCCTCAAAATGACACACATGCCCTGGCCGGTTTTCCTTAGTTGTTAGAGCGTTGGCCCATGCACCCGAGGGTCATGGGATCGGTTTCCGATCACGGGCACATACCTGGCTTGCAGGTTTCCCAGCCCCAGTAGGGGCCCATGCAGGAGGCAACCAATTGATGTCTCTCTCATACATCAATGTTTCCCTCTCTCTCTTTCTCTCTCTGTCCCCCTCCTCCCTCCTTTCCACTCTCCCTGGAAATCATTAGAAAAAATATCCTCAAGTGAGGATTAAAAAAAAAAAAAAAAAAAAAGACAGATATGACAGGGTGATTATATGGACTCCTCAGGAGGCCCAGTTCCCCCTTCTGACCGGTATGACCTTCTGAAAGAGACTCAGAAAAGGGATCACTGGAGTCTTATGAGGTTCGATCCATGTTTCTCCGTGTAAAAATGAGGACGGTGGTCTGATGAAAAGTGGTAAAAACATATTTATATTTGCACTTATCGGGGGTATAAAATCACACCCATTGATTCCACTGTTCCCCAATCAGGTGTATAGAAACCATTAATAAATTTTCCTCTAGCCTCTCCATGGGAGCTTGCTCTGCAAGCTGTGTCCTCCCTCCCCCACCCCACTCTCAACACCCTTACAGGGTTCATGTCAACTTCAATCCCTGGCCCAGGGCTCGGCTTTCTTGTCTCCTTCCTTGCCTGTTGGCCATGCATGCAAGGCTTCTCTTGGTCCCAGTCCCTGCCCCACGTGTAAGCAGGTGACATGAGGCAGCCCCACCAAATAGGGTCCCTACAGAGCCTGAACAGGGGGGAGCAAGTCCAGAAATAAACATCTCTTACCTCCTCTCCAGGTCTTACCTGCTCTTGGGAGAAAGGGGTATGGGAAGTATGTGAGTTTAAAGCGAGTGAGTTTTCCCTAATGATCTCCTTGGGGTACCTGGAAGTCATGGCTGATCAGTGCCATTTGCCCAAGTGATCCAGCCAAGCCTGGGTACTTACCGGTGTGGCTTATCCCAGAGTGAGAACCAGACACGGGGGCACCTGCCAGTTGGCACCGTGTCAGCAGGGTCTGGGTGTAGCCAGTGAGAGCCCGTCAGGGTGGGGAATCCAGGGGTCCCGGGAAAGGGCCTCAGGGTCTCCAGGACTTTAACACCCTCTGCACCCACCTTAGCGTTTCGTGTCGCTCATCTCCATGCCACACAGACAGATGATGGACACAGGGCTGTGAATTGTGAGTCCACATTCACATCCATAAACATACTTTCAGATAATGTTAGTCCTTACTTACTTCTCTGGAAACATAGTTTTATATTACAATCCCAGCACAGCTCTTGATGTTAAAACATCCATTTGTTCATCAAGCACTACTGGAGCATGGCTAAGTGCCTGTCACCATGAAGGAAACATGGACAAACAGGGATACATTCCTGCCCTCATGGAGGTGCACGTAACACACAGCCAGTACAAAGTTACAAATGACATGTGCTGGGAAGGAAAGCACGTGACAGACTTAGAGCAAGATCGAAGGAAGCAGAGCATCCAAGATGGCAGCAGGGTAGGTGGAAGTTACATTCACTTCCTCCCCGGACCAAACTGGAATTACACCTAAAGTATAGAACAATCAACCTGAATAAGCAGCTCAGGACCAGCGGAGCAAAAGTCTTATAACCAAGGATTCACAGAATCTTATAACCAAGATTCACAGAATCTTATAACCAAAGATTCACATGTCTCTGCCCTTGGCAACTGGTAGGAAGGGCAGAGACTTAAAAAGAGCTGGCCCCCTACCCACATGCAGCAGCTGAGAATCTTGAGGGTCATCTCAGCTGTAAAGGTAGCCCCTAAGGAGCTTGGTGTCTCAACCCCACACCAGGATCCCCAGCCCAGAACACCAGATCCGGGAAGAGGTGCTCACATAACATCTGGCTGCGTAAATCAGCGGGAATTCTGTCTGTCAGGAGGAGACAGAGTCTGCTAGACCCAATGACTATTCACCTTGACCATGACTTAGAGATTGGTGATCAGTTCATCCTGTGAGGTTACTTCCCATTACTGATTTAATACAGAGCCCCTTTTTCTTTCATGGGAGTGTGGTGGAGGGTGTGACTGCAGAGGGGATGGAGGTGTGTGGGTAAATGGTCAGGGATCAGGGTGCCTAGGGCAGGGCTCTGGAGGGTTTGGGGGCGGGGGCAGGTTTCAGTGATGAATGGCCCACTAATGAGGACAGCAGGGGGTTGAGGGTATCTTTCTTCCAGATGGGATACTGGCCAAGTATTTGCTCTGAGTGGCCCTCAGGATCGAGCTAGGAGAGGCTGTGGCACAGTCAGTCCCTGGGGATACCTTCCAGGACTTCTTCACCTTTTTAGGATCAAGACTGTGGCGGCACACCCTCTACTCTTCCAAATACCACCCACAGCCATGCAGGGGAATGAAAGGACAGTGGCCCTAGCCCTCCCAGTGTGGTTCAGTGGTTGAGCACTGACCTATAAACCAGAAGGTCACAGTTCAATTCCCAGTCTAGGCACATGCCCAAGTTGCAGGCTCCATCACCAGTAGAGGGCGTGTGGGAGCAGCTGATCAATGATTCTCATCATCGCTGTTTCTCTCTCTCTCTCCCTCCCCCTTCATCTCTGAAATCAATAATACAAATATAAACTATTTTTATTGATTTTTTACAGAGAGGAAGAGAGAGGGATGGAGAGTTAGAAACATCCATGTGAGAGAATCATCGATCAGCTGCCTCCTGCACACCCCTTACTGGGGATGTGCCTGCAACCAAGGTATGTGACCTTGACCGGAATCGAACCCGGGACCTTTCAATCCGCAGGCTGATGCTCTATCCACTGAGTCAAACCGGTTTCGGCTAAAAATACATTAAAAAAAAAATAGTAACCGCCGAAATCGGTTTGGCTCAGTGGATAGAGCATCGGTCTGCGGACTGAAAGGTCCCAGGTTCAATTCCAGTCAAGGGCATGTACAGTGGTTGCATGCACATCCCTGGTTGGGGGTGTGCAGGAGGCAGCTGGTTGATGTTTCTCTCATCAGTGTTTCTAGCTCTCTCTCTCTCTCCCTTCCTCTCTGTAAAAAATCAATAAAATATATTTTTTTTAAAAGTAAAACCTTTTAAAAAATAAATAAAAAATAAAAATAAAAAAGACAGCAACCCTAGCACGACCATATCTTTCAGCCGCGCAGGGGCACTGACCCACAGGGGGCGCTCCTCTGCAGCCCCTCCTCCCTCTCCCCTCCCTGCTTCCGGCTGCGCAGGCGCACTGAGCCCGGCTCGGGTCAAGCAGGGAGCACACTCCGCAGGGGGTGGGCCCCAGGGCGAGGGGCGGGGCGAGCTGGGCTCGCGGCTGCGCACTCGCTAGTGCCGCCCGCCCCGCCCACTTCCGGCGCGAGTTCTTTTCCTGGTGGAGGCGGCCGGGCTCACTATCACCTACCCGCTGACCGTTTGGGCCGTTCCCACCATGGGCTCCGGCGGGGCTTGCGGGCGGACGATGCGCTGGGGGCTGCCCCTCGGCGGCGCCACGCTGCTCCTGCTGCTCCTCCAGGCGGCCGCGGCGCAGGCGTCGCCCGGATCAGGTGAGACGCGGACCTCAGAGGGGGCTCGGGTCCTCTGGTGGGGCGGGGCCGCGGAGGGGGCGCGGGGCCCTGGGCTCGGGCGGGAAGGTGATGGGGGCGCGGGATTCTGGTGCCAGGCAGGGGGCATGGGGGCATAAGGGTCCTGGGACGCGGGGTCTCCGCTGCGAGGGGTCGCGGCTCCGCCTCCGGGCCGCGGTCTGCGGGGGTGGCCGCCCCAGTGTCCGGTCACCGGGGCGGGGGCCCCTGCAGGGGGCTGGCCATCCCTTTGTCCTGGTCCAGCCGCGGCCACCGCTCCGCGGGGCGTGCGAGGTGGTCCAGGCCCCAGGGAGGAGGGGTGCTCGGAGTTAGCAGGGGCATCAGGGGGAGGTAGGAAGGCGTGCACAGCGCCACTGTGAGCCGGGCTGATTCCCTGCCACACTGCCAACTGCGGAGGGCCTTCTTCCTTGGTTTATCATCCCACCTGTTATTAACCACCTGTGCGTGCGGGGAACACTGGTGATCCAGAGTTCCTTCCTATCTCTGCCTCAGAAGCTGAGTTTCTGGGGAGACTGACCAAGAAACAAGCCATCGGGGTGCTGAGGGTAGGGAGGGGGGTAGGTGAGGGAGTGTTAGTGGAGCAGATTGCATGACCTAGGGCAAAAGAGTTGCAGACACAGAGCAATACTGTATTTACTGTATTTGCTGGAGGTGCAGGTGAGGGGGCCACAGCCCCCCGGGCCAGGGGGAAAATGAGGAAGTGTGGGAGCTGAGACTGGAGTGTCCCTCTGTTTCGGAAATGTTTCAAGCTGACTGCTGTGTGTGGAGTTCCCCATGTGATCACTAATGGGTAATGGAGCCAGAGGCGGGCCTCTTTAAGTCTCTGGTTCAAGATCTTTATTTATTTTTTGTTAATTTATTTATTGATTAAGGTGTCACATATTTGTCCTCAGCCCCCCATTTCAATCCCCCACCCTTCCCCACTCATGCCCCCATACCCTCATCCCCCTATTGTCCTTAATCACTGGTTAGGCTCATATATACGCACACTCAAGATCTTTCCAAGTAGACTTGAGGTAGGCCCAGCTCGAAGCCAGTGTCTTTCTCAACTCCTGTTAGCGCAGGCTTTGTCAATGTCTGTTCAGCGCAGTAAATACCTTTCCTCTCTGTGGCCTTATTGCATACTATTGCAGTGCAGGACTGTTCGAGTTTCTTCTGATCTGCTCCTAAGATTAATTGTGTGCGTGTGCTTGCGACACTGGTTAACAGAGCAGTCCGGTTGCACTGTAGAGGGAACTTCTGGTCTAAGTTGAATTCTCAGCAGAAACTGGGAATGAGTACTTTTTAGGAAACAGAATGTGTATCTGGCAAAAGAATCTTACTTGCGCAAGAATCTTCTCCATGGCTGAGGGTGCGTGTCAGGAAAGGTCCGGAAGTGTTTGGGAATTAAGCTAAAACTATCCTAATATTTTTTTGGTAAAAAGCAGCTCCTTCTCTAGCCACAAACGTGTACACTTGCTGTCCGTCCAGTTGGAAGCTGCTCTCATTTGCCTTAAGTCACAGGATCCCAGTTCTGTCTCCTAGAGGTGCCCGTTGTCCTGGTGGGTGGTGGGTGAACTGTGGTTTCTCTCATCAACAATTCGGTCAGATGGGAGCAGTGGTGTCAGGGTTGTGTTGGTGTTTGCTGTCCAGATGCCCTTGGGATCTGCGTTCCTCTTTAATTGGAGAGGGGGCACTGTCAGAGCACTGAGGCTCCCCCTTCCCACAGAGTATGTTCTTAGTGTGGTATTCTTTTCTGTTTGTAGTTCTGTAGGAATGTGAGTACGCTATTTAAAACATTGTGTCTTCCTTGTAAGGAGATGAGTGTTCTCCAGAACCAGCATAGCTATAGCGAAAGAGAGTTATTTGAGGGCAATCCCTCATTCACATGACTGGAGACTGGAGACTGAGCAGTCCCGAGATCTGCCGTCTACAAGCTGGAGGCCCAGAAAAGCACATGGTGTAGCTCAGCCCGAATCAGAGGGCCCGCGAACGGGAAGCCGGTGGTGTAAGCTGCAGCCTAGTCTGAAGGCCCAGCAACCAGGAGCACCGATGTCCCAGGGCAGGAGGAGATAGAAGTCGTAACTCCAGGAAGTAGACGTCACTCAGAAGTCAGGTTTTACCAGCCCCCTCGGCATCCCTTAGCCAGGTCAAGGTGATACAAAAAATTACCCTCCCAGGTGTGAGTGAATTCTTATCATACGTCATGCCCATCCCAAACCGACAATTTCTCCTGTCTTCTTGTGCACAATGCTGGCGGGAGATGGGCGGAACCCACCAGGCATTGAGGATCTTAAGGGCAATTTCATTCCTTTGAAGAAACCTTCCCGTGCTTTTGGACCCTCCTTGTATTGTGCATGGGTCGGACTCCATCCTAGAGTTTCATCTGTATCTCAGGGAGAGACGACACGTCAAAGGTCCTTAGAGCCGAAACCGGTTTGGTTCAGTGGATAGAGCGTTGGCCTGCGGATTGAAAGGTCCCAGGTTCGATTCTGGTCAAGGGCATGTACCTTGGTTGCGGGCACATCCCCAGTAGGGGGTGCAGGAGCAGCTGATCGATGTTTCTCTCTCATTGATGTTTCTAACTCTATTCCTCTCTCTTCCTCTCTGTTAAAAGTCAATAAAATATATATTTTTTTAAAGGTCCTTAGACCAGTGTCTTAAACAGAGGACCCCAAGGAGCTCCCTAGCAGCTGGGTGTGCAGGGGTCTGCAGCCTCCTTCCCACTGCCCACCAAGAGCTGGGCTTTCTCCGCAGGTCTTGTAGGTGTTCTAGTAGGTTCTGTACACGGGGCCCGTGGCGTTATGTACTACCGTCTTCACTTTTCTACAGGGAGAGGAAGATGACCAGGGCTTTTTTGTCTAAGAGAATTTTCCACCCTCTTTTCTCACGTGAAATGGACAGTGTCGGCTCAGTCATGTGCACTGTGGGCACAAAGCCCCGAATAAGGGGCTTGTTCCACTGCCTAAGGGCTCAGCAGCTATAGCCCTTTGGCCTCTTGTATGACGTATGGACCATAAATAATATACTTAGTTGTTTCCTTATTTAAAAAAAAAAAAAAAAAAACATCATCTCTTTATACACGCTAGCCTATCTTTTGTACTTAATCAGTTGACTCACCTGAGAACTGGAAAGTGGGTCATGGGTTAGTGTATCCTACAGAAGAACAGTCCAGAGTGAGTGAGACCTAAAGTTCTTCAATTGTTAATAAATAGAATCTTAAGTTGAAGATTTTATCCGTCATCAGCGTTCAGAAGTCAGGCAGGACACTCCCACTCAGCAGTAGACTTCAGAAACGGTGCTGGTGTGACCTGTGAACCAGGAGATCACCTTTCATTTCCCGGTCAGGGCACATGCCCAGGTTGCAGATGCGGGCTTGATCCCCAGTAGGGGCGTGCAGGCACTAGTCAGTCAATGATCCTCTCTCATCATTGATGTTTCTCTCTCTCCCTTACTCTCCGAAATCAATAAAAATATATTTTTTAAAAAAGAAAGAAAGAAACCGTGTTGTTGTTGTTTTTGCTTTCTCTGGCTCTGAGCACATGGTTTCCTGTATTCTGTGATGAGATGAGATGCAGTGAAGGAGAACTCCCTATCCTTGGAGTGGCAGCAAATGGTTCATGTATTGTCTCTGCTCACCGTGCGGGAGGATGGGGGTGTTTGGAACAGGGTGACCTCCCAGTGCTGAGCTTGTTTGACATGCTGTGTCTGCCCGCATTGCGTTGAGAACGGCCCTGCTCCTGGCTGTGCCGTGCCGGAGGAGGGCTGGGCAGTTTGCTTGGCGGCTGCCTCCCGTGCTTGTCAGTTGACTCATGCTGGCCGGTAATCAGAGGCCCTTGGTGGATGGAGTTTATGCTGTATGCTTTGGACCACGGTTCTTTTAGTTCACGCAACACCAGTTCACAAAGACTTTAAAAATGAAAATCCCCGTGAAAAAATTTCCTGGCCCACATCACCCCTGCTCCCCTGAGGAGTAAGTGCGTCCTTCTTTGTAGAAGTTTTCAAAAAGGACTCGAGGGTGGAAACAGATCCCTCCCACCCCTCCGTGTCTCCCCTGCCCAACTCTATTTAGAAAAAGTTCAGAGCCACAGATAAGCTGAAGAAATAACCAGAACAATGAGTTCCAAATCCCTTTCTGTTCCCACAGCATTTGCCACTCCTCCTCGTCTGCGTGTTAGTTTTAACCAAACTATTTGAGAGTCAGTTGTGATGTGACCCTTTACCCCTAAATTCTTGGGTGTGTTTCTTCTGAGAATGAGGATTCTTTTACATAACTGGTAAATATAAGACCAAAACCTGGAGAACCACCATGATAATGATACTTGAATACTTTTCCCAGTCATGTCCTATGTCCCCATCCTGTCCGCTGGCCTCATCTGGCTACATGGTCCATGGAGTTATGTCTCTTAATATCTGTCCCTCTGGAATAGCTCCGCAGTCTCGGTGTTTTCAGACAGCTGCTGTGTGAAAGACCCTCGGTTTGGTCCTGTGTGGGTTCTCTTTGGTTTAATTCCAATGCACTTTGACAGGATTCAACCCAGTGACTGTCCTCCCTCACCCTCTGGAAGGCACTGCTGTCACTTGGTCCCACTGTCCTGTGGTCACAAATTACACTGGTGATACTTTGATCACTTTCCAGGTGCCGTTTCTCATGAAGAATTGGTGATTAACATGGGAAGGCACCACTCATGGGCACAATGGTCCCGGCGCCCCTGTTTGCTGTGATGGTTGCCAAGTGGAAATGCTTTTGCCTTCTCTCTCTATGTTTCATGTCAGTATGAAACCATGGGCTGTTCAAAAGGTCCGAGTCCATTGCTGTCTGTCATTCCCCTGGTTGTTTAAATAAGGAGGACCTCCATCAATCTGCTTCTGGGTCTGTTTACCATTTACCCATCAACCTGCGCCCTTTCCTGGCACAGCAAGCTGCCCAGGGCTGATCGTGTCCTTCCTCTGTGCCTGTTGTACAATCAGCTGTTTCTCCAAGGAGCCCTGGTTTCTCTCAGTGGGGAATAGCGTCTAGAAACCAAGACCTGGGCACCACACAGGCCCCTTGCTACTGGGCATGTTGTCCTTTCTAGGACCTTCAGTGGACAGAGCTCATCATCATCCTGACACCTCAGAGGTCTCTGATTCTCCCTGTTCCCAGGGCCAGCACATTGGGACCTCTGGAATGGCGGTGCCTGTTAACAAACTGCCGCTGTCACCCTGCCTCTCTTAGCAGTGTTTTGAGAAATCGAGGCATTTCAGGGCCTGTCAATCTTCTTTACTTTCCTGAAGCTAAATGAAATCTGTCGTTCTGAGTACTTAAACTAGTTTAAAAATAAGCTTCAACATAAACCCAATAGTACAACATTAAAGACGCTGAAAAGAGTAGTATTTGATAATAATTGCTGCAGAAAAATACATGAAGGAATCGACTTATATTTCATTTAAAATAAATAGGATTTTATTTAGAGAAATGGAATGTAGAAGAACTACACTATTGAATAGATGGACCAATTATTTTAGAGAAAGTCCCACTTAACAAACACAGTGAATTAAAAATGTAACTAGAGGCTAAAGCTCTTTTTCCTGCATTTTATTATGGAAATCTTCATACAGCAAAATTGAAGAATAGCGTAGTCAAAACTCATATACCCAACAAACTCAGCTTTTATCCTTCACCGTGTGCTGTGTTGTCTCTGTACAAGTGTCCTCCTCCCCCATCCTTCCCTGAAGGCATTTTGAAGGTTCAGACATCCTACTTTTCCCCTCAGTACCTCACTGCCTGTCATTAACTAGAGTTCAGCTGCTGCTGCTGCTTCTTCTTCTCTTCTTCTTCTTCTTCTTCTTCCTTTTTTTTTTTCCCCCCTTTAAGATATCTTGTACATACGTGAAATGCAGGAACAGTAGTATGCCACTGAATGAGTTTTAAGATAATGCTAACCTAAAAATAAAGGCTTTTCCAAGTGAGAGGCAGCAGCATTTAGCTGAGATCAATAAGAATAGTTATTATGGATATACTAATTCAGGAAGAATCCCAGATCTTGTCCCAGTTAAGGGACAGAAGCATTGGATATTTATGAGAAAGGTAAGGGGAACAATATATCAGTAGAAGGAAGGCTGTTGTTGCAGATAACATAATATAGTGACATTAATTATAAACAGTGTGTGTGTGTGTGTGTGTGTGTGTGTGTGTGTGTTTATCCTCACTCGAGGATATTTTTTCCATTTTTTAAAAAATATATTTGATTGATTTTATTGATTCCAAGAGAGGAAGGGAGAGAGATAGAGAGCTAGAAACATCAATGAGAGAGTCATCGACCAGCTGCCTCTTGCACACCCCCTACTGAGGATATGCCTGCAACCAAGGTACATGCCCTTGGCCGGAATCAAACCCGGGTCCCTTCAGTCCCCAAGCTGACGCTCTATCCATTGAGCCAAACCGGTCTCGGCCCATTTTTTTTTTTAAAGAGAGAGTAGAAGGGGGGGGGGGGGGTGAGAGAGAACATCAATTGGTTGTGATGTTCTAGCTGAACCAAACCAGCCAGGGCTAAACAGTATTTTTAATTTTCATTCCAATAGTTATATAAATATGTGCTTTCTTGTTGTCTTTACAAATAGTTTTTTGAGAAACAAGGTTGCTCAGGCCCAGTTCAAAGGTTATTTTGCCTTGTTCTAACGTCCCAAAGATTTGGGAATGAAAACATTCAAGGCAGTTCCTTTGGCATGGCAACTCCAATTCCATGTTCAAGTGGCTCCATTTAGATTATTGTTTACAGGTCCATTCGTGTTTTTGTGTATATAGTTGTATGTACTACCTTTTGTGGCTGAATAGGGTTCCATTGTATGACTACGTTTGTCCATCATTCTTTACCTGGACATCTGGGCTGTTTTCAGCTTTTGGTATATTAAAAATAAAGTTGCTATGAACACTCCTATAACACATCTTCCTGTGGATGTATGTTCTAATTTTTCCTGGGTGAAATATCTAAGAGTGGAATTGCTGAGTCATAGAGTAGACATATATGTTTGTTTTATGAGGAAGTGCCCCTCTATTTTTCAAGTGATAGAAACAATTTGTGCTCCCAATAAAACTGGATGAGAGTCCCCACTTGCTCTGCAGCCTTGCCAACATTTAGGATTGTCAGCCATTAATTTTAGCCATTCTGATGGTAATGAAGTGGTATATTATCACAACTTTTAAATTGCAGTTCCTGGTGATTAGTGAGTTTGTGCTTAGCTCTTTTCAAAGTGTGTGTTTGTTTTAAGGGATAGGGTGGGGTAATAGCTGCTGCCTGATGTCATTCTGGAAATGTTTCACTTATCACACATTCTTGGTGTGGGGTTTGACCCCTCCCTGGAGCAACAGTGCTGGGAGGGTCCCCGGCACGGCTCCTAGGGATTGCAGCCAGCTTCTCCCCTGTGTGTCCAGAACACACCCCTCTCTGAGGGGCTGGTGGGACTGCCAGGGGCCAAAGCCCTGGCGTTAGTCAGGTGGGCCTGGCATTGCTGTGGTGTTAGCTTCCACCGAGAGTGTCTGCTGCTGAGCTGGTGGCCTTAGCTGACTAGTGGTCCATGCCATCTGACCCCATGGCTTCCCTCCTGGGTGTATGCTCAGTCACCTTTCCTGAAAGACGCCCGTGGGTACAACCCTTTGTGATGTTTCACATACCTCCTGGTGCCCTGCTGCAGTGGGCTCAGTAACTACTCTGTCCCTGGAGGCTCGGTACCGGAGAGGACCCTGTGCAGCACTCCCTAGCACTCCCCTGCCCTCCTGACTGATACGTTGTTTTTTCCCCACAGCTTGCTCCCAGAGCACAAACAAGACCTGCCAAGAGTGCCTGAAAAACGTCTCCGTAAGTAGCACGTGACTGGAAGCAGGCCCACTTTTGCTAACGGGGGTGTCCCTGGTGTGTGCTAAGGGCTCAGACGTTGGGGATGTGGAAGATTTTTATGATGGGTATTAAATATTATTTTAGCCCTTCTCAGGCACCTCAAGCTGTCCCATGGGGACTGCAGATGCCACCTGAGCATCATTAATAGGCATATTTAACTCCTGAAACAGGTATGGGGTCATAGAAGGTGTGCGCCAGGCCTGTTTCAGGCGGGAGATGTGTGGCTGGTGGGAAGCCTCAGCGCCCCCTGAGCTGGTGAACGTTGGTGCACAGTGCTGCTCAGAACGGGGATTGCGGGGACAGAGGAGCAGACAGGATGAGCGCTGGGCTGAGGGGTCCATCGATGCCTGTTAACCTGTGACTAGGGCCTCATGTTGGTGTCATTAGACCATGGAGGCCTGTTGGGACAGAGGTTAAGACTCCCTCTGCAGATGGTCCCTGGAGACGCAGCAGGAGTGTGCCCAAAGCCCTTGTCATCCACCCTCAGGGGTCAGAGGACGAGAGCCGCCTGTAAACTCCAGCAGAGTCCCAGCTCTCCATGTCCCGCGTCTCCACCAGGGCAGGAGGTGCTTCTCTCTCAGCTCTTCGCACAGGAATGGAGAAGCAAGGCGAGAGCCAGGGGAGACACAGGCGCCAGGTCAATGGGGGAGTTGGGGGCGTCTGGCCCAGTGGGGTCAGCCTGTTCACAGCTCACTAGTCAGGAGGTGAGCCTCGCAGCCAGGATGTGCCAATGTCCCTGGTTCTTGTAAGTCGTGGGTGACCTTGAGGAAGAGGGTAGCTGCCCTGGAGTGGAGACCCAAGGCTCATGTGGGGCACCTCCCCAGGGGCCGTCCTGGGAGCCAACACATAGGTGTGTGCCACAGGCCAGCGGGGAGAAGAGGAGAGGGACATGTGACGCTGGGGAAACCTCCACCCCATCTGGCCGTCTCAGGCTTGTGGGAACAGTGCTGCTTTGTTAGGGTCCGGGTGCCACTCCTCAGGCTTTGACTTCCTGGCAGCACCCGATCCAGCAGCCCGTGAGTGTCTGGCTCCGTTTCACCGAAGCGCCGTGTGGTCAGCACCGAGGACCCGAGAGAAGCTGACCCAGGATGGCTAGGAGAGAAGACACCCACCCTTTGTGGGGCCTTGGCCTCGGGCCCTGGGGGAGGCTGCGTCCCCGCTTTGGCCGGGTCTTTGTGTTGTAACTATACAGCCTGTGTTTCTCTTTCCCTCATCTTAGGGTTCAATGACCAATGGCAGGGGTGAGGGAAGATCAGATGGTTCCCCCTTCAAGACGTGGGGCCATGTTTTTACAAAACATGGGAGGGTCTCAGGTCCCAAACACATCTGGTGGTTATAGGACTTACCTCTGCCAATTAAAACGGAAAGGAGGTTGTACTGCAGTTTCAGGTCTTACCGTTGACCACGCTGAACCAGGTCGGGGGGCTCTGGTTCACAGGGTGGTGTTTTCTTGATGTTGTTTCTTTTTAGTGTCTGGGTTTTTCTACTGAAGTCACTTCAGCCATAAAAATGGCTTAGAGTCTCCGTGGCTCTGCAGTTCCCGGAGCACCTTTGCAGCTCTGTCCTGTTCAGCTCTCACCTCCCTGGGAAGGAGATTGGGGAGGTGCAGGTGAGGGACATGTCCAGGTCAATGTGAAGTCCTGACCCCCACTCTGAACCCAGACAGATCAAGTCAGTGCTGCGGGCGCACACGTGCAGGGGGGTGAAAGCAGGGATGGGCCGTGCGTGTGGGCCCAGCAGGGCACAGGAGTCTCTGGGGGGATGGGCAGTGCCTCGGGGGCCTGAAGAGCCCGAGCAGGTGAGAGGGAGGCTGAGGGCGTGCTCTGGGTCCCGTTAGCATCACTCAGTTGTGTACCATGAACATATTCCCTCATTCGTGTAACAAAAACAACCACAACAACCTCACAGAAGAGAACCTACCCTCCTAGTGAACGCCTGTGGCTTTTGGTAAAATCATCATAGAAAAATGGAAAATTCGACATTAAAAACTTAAGCTGTTTGAAAACGGGAGATTTACCAAACATTGTTAAACCAGAACAAAACCACTAAAATGCAAGATATTCTCAAACAGCCAAAAAGAAAGGGTTTTTTCCTGCTGTTTACTAAGTGCGCTCAGCCACTTTAAACACAGCTCAGTACAGTGGATGTTATGTAAGGAGGCCTGGGGAGCCTTTATTCTAATATATTGTGCCGTGGACGTTCCTCCTAACCTGGGACCAGAAAAAACAAACACACACCATGACGTTGTGTCCTATTAAAATCTCAAAGGAAAAAGAATGCCATAAAACTGTCCCCTTTAAGATATAAAATAACAAGCCAATTTCTTCCTGTGTGGCACGTCCTGCAGCCTAAGCCCCACTTCCTTTGTTGCCAGCTCCAGACTCCCCCTCGCACACGCACTGGGGGAGGCACTGTCCTGGCCCCGGACCGCCTCTCCCCTGACCCTGTAGGGGCTTAGGGGCATCTGTGAGGTTACAGTGGGTGCCTTGGAGCCTCGGTGGCACTGTCTTGAAGATGCCTGGAGGTAATACTCACTTGCTGCTCTTGCAGAGGTCAGAGGTAGGATCTTTAAGATCTTTACACGGTGGTGGTCATGGTCACAGAAGCCCACTAACAGATACTGAGCTGCCAAGGGCCAGCCTTGGTCCGCCTGCTCGGGATCCTTCAGTGACGCACATGGATGCCTGTCCTCCTGGTGACGGGCCAGAGAGGCAGCTTGAGTGTGTCAGGAGGCAGTGCGACAGCAGGGGCGGAGGTAAGGAGGGCAGTTTTCAGTAGGCTGCCCACGTTAGGCCTCATGGAGGCAGTAAGAGAGCCACATGCGTCTGGGAGGGATGTTCCAGGCCGAAGGAGCAGGTCTTGCAAAGGCCCTGCGGGGGGAGCTGCCTGGCATCCTTCATGACAACACAGAGGCTGTGTGGCTGTTCAGGGTGCCTAGTGGAAGAGGTGTGAGAGGCACGGTTCTTGGAGGGCAGCTAAGCCTCTGTGTTGGGGTTGAGAGCCCAGGCCGTTACCATCCCCCAAGGGTGAGCAGACCAGGTGGCTGATGGTTTAGAGCCGTGGTCGGCAAACTCATTAAAAGTCAACAGAGCCAAATGGCAACAGTACAACGATTAAAATTTCTTTTGAGAGACAAATTTTTAAAACTTAAACATCTTCAAAATAGCCTCGCCCAGGCCATGGTATTTTTGGGGAAGAGCCACATTCAAGGGGCCAAAGAGCTGCATGTGGCTCGCGAGCTGCAGTTTGCTGACCACGGGTTTAGGGAATCAGGGCCTGGACTTTCTGATTCTTTGGTGTTTACTTTGAATTTCTAACATTTAATGTTTATCTCTCTCAGTGTCTTTGGTGCAACACGGATAACACATGCATGGACTATCCAGTGACAAAAATCTTGCCGCCTGCTTCTCTTTGTAAGCTGAGCTCTGCACGCTGGGGCGTTTGTTGGGGTAAGTGGTCATTTTATAAAATTGGCTTCTTGATTGTGCTCATTAACACAAGCTGCCAGGGAATGTATTTACCGTAGTTCTTTGGTGTTCCCAGTGGGAAGTTGGGGAACCAGTGAGAGCTTGTGGTGTCTTAACTGGTGGCGGGGGGAGGGGGATCCTTGCAGATCTGGAGGCTCACTTTCAGGCCTCAGCCTTGGCTCTGCACTAGGTCTCCACACCCTTGGGGGTGGTGAGTTGAAGGCTGCTTGTTGGATGGCTCAGCACCTTGTGTCTTGGTGGTGTTCCTGGGCCACCTTGACCCGTGTGGTTCCTGTAGGGTCTCTGACTTCCCAAGCAAGGAATCCCTGCTCCGCATGGGTCTGTGTCCCATCATCTGCATATGGTTGTTACAGGTGTTCTTTCATCAGAAATTAGCCCTTTGTGAGATTCAGATTGTTTCTAGTTTACTTTTATGTAAAGAAACATTAATGTGAGAGAGAGACATCCATCAGTTGCCTCCTGTATGCACCCAGGGATCATCAATAAAGAGAGAGAATCATTGATCAACTGCCTCCTGCATACCCCCTACTGGGAATGGAGTTCACAACCACAGCAAGTGTCCTGACCAGGAATTGAATCATGACCTCCTGGTTCATGGGCCATTATTCAACCACTGAGCCATACTGGACCGATTCTAGTTTGTTGGTGATATATGTTGCTACATGGAACTCATTTTTATGGATTGGGTTTATTAATCCTTTATTTTTATGGCTTCAGTTTTGGGGTCAAACAGAAACCACCTTCTTTCTTTCTATCTATCTATTTACTTTTAAATTGTTTTTAGAGCCGAAACCGGTTTGGCTCAATGGGTAGAACATCGGCCTGCGGACTGAAAGGTCCCAGGTTCAATTCCGATCAAGGGCATGTACCTTGGTTGCAGGCACATCCCCAGTAGGGGTTGTGCAAGAGGCAGCTCAATGATGTTTCTCTCTCATTGATGTTTCTAACTCTCTATCCCTATCTCTTCCTCTCTAAAAAAAATCAATAAAATATATATTTTTTAAATCAATAAAATATATTTTAAAAAAATAATAATAATAAATTAAATAAATAAATTGTTTTGAGAGAGAGAGAAACATCGATGTGAGAGAGAAACATTGATGAGTTGCCTTCTATATGTGCACTGACAGTGGATTAAAGTCATAACCTGGGCCTGTGTCCTAACCAGGAAACAAACCAACAACCTTTTGGTGCACTGTACACCCTCAACCAACTGAGCTAGAGGCAGTGGCAAGGCCACCTTCTTAAGCTGCATAAAGGAGCTGTTGTTTCCTTAGGGCACTTTGGTATTTCACTTGTGTGCCCGCAGCTTATTTCTTATTTATCTGTCTTTTTTTCTAATTGATTTCCATTTTAGACTCCATCAGCCTCCATTAGAAATATTCACCTACATTGCTGAGGCCCCAGGGAATCCAGGATTGCGTGGTGTATAGTTGAGGGGCCTACTGCGTGGGCGTACATGTGTGTGCATGTGCCCATGTGCCCTTTGTCATATCCACCCAGTTGATCCTTCTCTCTGCTGTCCTCCTATCAGAAAGGCGCCACTGGGCCTCACTGCCCTCTGCTTCCATCCTGTCCGCTGTCCTCTCCATGGAAGCTGTCCTTGCTCACTGTCTCACAAAGACCACTCCTGGACCAGGGGACTCTGGGACCCTGGGCGTGTTGAACATGAGCTGTTTAAGAGTGCACACATCTTAAGTCACCCTTTATAGAATACAGTCTACAACATAAGCACACATGGATACACACATACATCTATTCAGTGGATGTTTACATGAGCACCTAGCAAAATGTACAGACCATATCTGGCACCCACAGCGATTACTGTCAGGGCCCCACGTTTAACTGCTGGACTGACTTCCATCAGCAGAGGTTAGTGCTGCCTGACCCTGCCCTTCACATAAAGGAAGCCCTTACCTGACTTCATCCCGTAGTGTAGGTGTCTGAGGCCCTTCCCTGTGTGCTGTGTGTGCCACTTTGTCTCTGACTTTGGGCAGTGTTCACAGGTGCGCCTCCATTCTGCTGCTGAAGGCATTGGGCTGTGGTCTTGTGTGGGATGTGTGCCAGCGCTCCCTCCACAGGGCATATATGTAGGCGTGGAATTGCTGCCTCGCCACATGTTCGCTCTGTAGGGCCGCAGGCATTTTTCCAGAAAGTTCTACCAGCTCATGCTCCCCCAAGCAATGTGGGGCTTCCAGTCGCTCCACGTCCCTGCCATTCGGCACTCAGTCATCTTCGGTGTCGTCCATCTGGTGGGTGAGCGGCATCGCCCCGTGGTTCTAATGTGCATTTCTCCGAAGGCTGATGATGAGGAGCTCCCTTCCAGTCTTGGGCAGGTTTGATAATTCTCTTGTGAAATGAAAGTCCCTCCCAAGGGCTTACAGGGAATGTCAAACCCGACACCCAAACACTGGACAGACAAGATCCATGGCAGTGTACTCATCCCCTGTAGTCACAGCCCTTGGGGAGGGATACTGGATGATTGGGGGGTAGGGGAGGAGGCTTTGCAGTAACAAGAGGGTGTGGTGCCTGGGTCAGAGAGACGATGTGATTGCTTGAGCAACTCCAAGGGCCGACAGGGAAATGACACCTGCCCCTGGTTCCCGGAATAAGGATGGTGGTTTGGCTGCGGACTTACCTGTGGGAGTAATGGGGAGGGGAACTTGTTGGGCCACTCAAGGCTCTCCTGGTTTCACCAGACACCAGGGTGCACTTAACACTAATGTTAGGTCTTACAACACAGGTGGTTTTTTGTTTCCCTTCCCCCTCCCCAGGGCCATCACAGGTGCTTTTTTGTTTGTTTATCCTCACCCGAGGATATTTCTCCATTGCTCTTCAGAGAGAGTAGAAAGAGGAGAGACAGGGAGGGGAGAGAGAAACATCGATGTGAGAAGAAACACATTGATTGGTTGCTTCCCCAATGCTCTAACCACTGACGCATGCCGGCCAGGGCACCGGCGCTTTTTATTCTTAAAATTTAGAGTCCTTTTATCCAGTTTAGGCAAAAATGTTTTGGAGTTTTAATTATAATAACCTTAAAAATATAAGTTTGCTTGGAGAAAAATGAGGATATGGCCATTTTGAACCTTTGTCCAGAAGCAAGTTGTCACTCCATCATCTGGGCCATTCCTTACGTCCTCTGGTGGAGTGTCAGATTTGCCAGTCAGGATAACAGGGAAAGGCTCACAGTTTTGCTTCCTTTACGATGTGATTTCTGTTTTTATTTTATGACTGGTTTTAGCTGCTAAGCAGGGAAGCTATTTTGGGATAGGTATATTTTAGAGCCAGCTAACCAATTGATCTCCGTCATTTTTAAAGTTGATCATTGTAGAGTTCTCGAGTCAGAAACGACACCATCTGCTAGTGAAGGTCTCTTTCTAGTTTCACTGCTGTTGCAACGCCAGCGCTTCTAAAAGCAGGTCAAGGAAGGAAAGAAGACGGTTATGGCTCAGAAGGATTCGGTCACATGTCACACTGCTCCCGATTGTAAAATGATTGAGTAACCCATAAGTGAGTGCTCTGCTGCCAGCACCCAATCTGGATGTGAGGTGGGTTCACACCAGCAGAGAGCCCTCCACTTGCCTCACCATCCAAGCCCCAGCCTGACCACAAGTGAGATTAGAGATCATCCGCTTCCTGTGGTGGCATTTTAACCTCATTTTCAGAAGCAGCTGGAGCTGGTGTGGGTGGCCAGGTGGCTCTTCAAGTCTTCAATGGCTGGTGGGGTTTCTTAAGATTTTTTAAAATTTGTTTAGAGAGCAAGCGAAACGTGGATGTGAGAGTAAAACATCCAAAGGCTGCCTCCTGCATGCCCCCTACTGGGGATCAAGCCCGAAACCCTTTGGAGCAAGAGGTGACACCCAACCAACTGAGCCACACTGGCCAGGGCTTCAGTGACTGTTTTAACCGGACAATTAAAAACACATTCACAAAAGAAGTATTAGAGTTCAGATTGAATTAAAAAAAAAATAGTGACTGGTTTTCATTTATAAATCTTTAAGAGAAGCTGAAAAGAAAGTAAAACTTGCCTTAAGTTTGTCTTTGGTCTGGACAGGAAGTCATAAACTCATTTGACAACGATAGGCAGCCACTTTCAAACCCCTGGGGAAGATCCGCTGTCCTGCGTGCTTGCCGTGGTCTGAATTTTGTTCCTGTGCAAAATAAATGCATTGCTCTTGACTTAGACTTAATTAAATGAGCTGCATGATGCTTAAATTTTTTTTTTTTTTTTTTTAGGAAAGTCCAAACACACAGCTGAGTATTCTCATTCTTCTGGGTTTAACTTTCCTCCGTCTTAAAACATCTTTTCAGTATCTGGTGGTGGACGCCAAAACGTGGATCCACCCTGACTAATGGAGAAATTGTTAGATGGCCCAGCTGTGCACTAAGAAAGGCCTGCTCTGCAGCCTGGGCCTCGCTCTGACAAAGCTCGCCACCTAGGAGAGCATGCTGCTGCCGGGGTTTCTGCTCCAAGCAGCTCTGACTTGGCCTCTTTGCACTTACAGTGAACTTTGAGGCGTTGATTATCGCCATGTCGGTGGTTGGAGGCCTCATCCTCCTGGCGATTACCACATGCTGCTGCTACTGCTGCTACTGCAGAAAGAAGAAGAGCCGGAAGCCAGACAAGAGCGAGGAGAAGGCCATCAGGGAGCAGGAAGAGAGGAGAATACGGCAGGAAGAAAGGTGAGGCCACAGACCCATTCCCATGGGGAAGAAGAGCCCTTCAGGGGACTCAGATCGGGCAAGTGACATTGATAAGTCACAGGTCTTCTCTGTTTTTAAAAGCGTTCCTGTAAGTGTTTGTGGATTTTTCTAGGTTGTGATATAAAGAGTGAGAAGCTATATATGCAGAGACCTAGCCAGTGGCCAGGACCTTCCTTGTCCTCGGCCTGCTGCTTCCCTGTCTGTTTCCTCCATCAGTGACCTCAGGGCTGCAGCTGGAGGTTGCAGCTGGCAGAGCTTTCCTGCTTGCAGTGTCATGGGAGTGGGATCTTATGCCGCAGGGACGGGAGCCATTGAAGGCAGTTTTTTAATCTTCATTTACAAGCAGACCAAGGCTCAGAGAGGGAGGAAAGCCTTTCATGAGTCACTTGTCTCACGCCCCAGGCCGAATTGGGTCTTGTGCCACCAGTGCTGATCAGCCCCACTTTGCGGGTTACAGAGCCTTTGGCAGGTGTGAGATGCAGCCCTCCGTCACTCCCTGCCCAATGAGGAACCGGGTGCTGACTTGTCGGATGGCAGCCGATAAGGCCTGAAGCCCCACAGGTCTCCAGGTCATCACCTTGAAGTCATGGGCCTCAAATAAAAACTAGCTTTCGCTCGTTCCTAATCATCTTTAGAACCAGCATAAGGTTTTTACTGAATGCTAACTTTTCTTTATATAAGAAAACAATGTTTGTTTAAAATCAGTATTGGACATTTGAGTTGCATTTATTGAAATAAAGAATTGAATAATATGATATTGGAGCAGCTCAGAAGGCTGTGCTCACATTACCCTGCCTGTCCCAGTGGGAGTGTGGCCTAATGGCCAAGCTCGGCCCACCCTGCTGTCATCCTGGAAAAGGAGAACAAACCACAGCTTCTCTGCAACGGAAATGAAAGGTGCTTCTTTTAAAGATACATTGTATGTTGATGCTAAACAAGGTTCTGTTTGTTTTTTAGGAGGGCAGAGATGAAGTCAAGGCATGATGAAATCAGAAAAAAATACGGTAAGAATCGACTGAATTTCTGTTTCAGTTGGTGAGAAATTGATGCCAGGCCTTCTTGGTCACTGTTGATGTCCCATGAGGTCTAACTGTAGGTTATGGGGACAGAAAGATGTCTCTACTATTCTAAGTGGTGCTGAACTAATTCCATCCAATGTGTTAAAAGACGAATATTAGTCTCCGGACTCCTGTGTGTGGAGCTGCATTTCTTCTTGAAGGAGTCAGCCAGAACTGAGGCCATGCTGTCCTTTCCCTGTTTCTGGGTGTTTTGTCCTGGGTTTGTTTCAGTTTTTGTTTGGAGAGATTGGGGGCAGGTGGTGAAGCTATTTTTTAGTGTTTGAGAACATTAGGTCTGCTCCTGTGTTTAGTTGGTTCACATCCATGAGCGTTGATATGCCTGCTCAGAGATTGCTCAGCATTTTTGGAAATGATAGACGTGGACTTGCTTGGCCTGTCCTGAGGCCAGGCCCTCACTGATGACAGCCCTGGGGCCTCTAGCCTTGAGCCACGCTGCCTCTCTTGACCTTGTGACCTGGGGATTTGGTTAAGTGGACCAGGCAGCTGTGCTAAATCCTAAGCCAGACCAGAAACATGTCAAAGTCTTATCCGACTAATGCACTCATTTTGAAGCCCTCAGTGTATATAAGGAAAGACTGCGTTGTGGTGGAATATTAGGACCCTCCTCACAGAAGTAGTAAATCCTCAAGGCTCCGTTCTCTACAAGAGCTGCTGGGCTGTGCACGCTGGTTCAGCTGGCCCACGGGCTGGACGTCCTTTTCATGACCTCTGCAGGCCTCCCGAAGGACACAGGTGTGCACTGTGCATCCTGCTCAGCCTCAGGCTGGGGTTGACCTTGGTGGCCTCCAAGTGTTGGTTCCAGGCATGAGGCTGCTGGCCCTTCTCTTGCCGTTCGGTCTCCTCTGTTTAAGATGAGCCTTCCGGTGGCTGGTAGAGCCTTTTTTTGTATATTCCCACCTCTTGGCCTCCTCAGAGCATCAATATGTCTTTGCCACCTGGCCACTATGTCCATCCCGGGACCAGTGGTGATGGGCTCCTGTGTGGGTGCAATTCCCTTGTCCAGTGGCATCAGCACACTGCCCACTCTCCCCTGGTGCCTCTCCCAGGGTACGTGCCCATGCCCACCGAATGGCAGTGTCCACGCCTGTGACTGGGGACAGCTTGATTTTCCGCGAAAGTGAGAAACTTCAAAAGGAGCTTTGACATCTGATTAATATTAATGTAAATAGCCCCAGCCAGTTTGGCTCAGTGGATAGAGCGATGGCCTATGGACCAAAGTGTCCCAGGTTCGATTCCAGTCAAGGACATGTACCTTGGTTGCAGGCTTCTCCCTGGCCTGGGCCCTTGTCAGGGCTGGTGCAGGAGGCAACCAATAGATGTGTTTCTCTCACATTGATGTTTTGTCTTTCCCTCTCTCTTCCATTCTCCCTAAAAAGCAATGGAAGAATATCCTCAAGTGAGAATTAATGAAAATCTTATATAATGAAACCCTAATATGCAAATTGATTAAACCACATAACAACCAGTCACTATGACACGCACTGACCACTAGGGGGTAAATGCTCAAAGCAGGAGCTGCCCCCTGATGGTCAGTGAGTTCCCACGCGGGAGTGCTGCTCAGCTGACATGCGCCAGACACTGGGCTCACAGCTGGTGAGCACACCTGCAGCGGCGTGAGCCTCTCCCACCTCTGCTGCTGGTGGGTGGTAAGGAGCAAGGGGTCCCGGACTGCGAGAGCCCTGGACTGCCCCAGTCCCTGGGGCCTAAGCTGGCAGGCGGACATCCCTCAAGAGGTGCCAGACTGTGAGAGGGTGCAGGCTGGCTGAGGGGACACCACCGCCCTCCTCCCCCCACCCCACCCCCATGCATGAATTTTGTGCACTGGGTCTCTAGTATATATACATTGTTAATAAAAGACAAAGGTGCGTGCCAAGCGCTGTAGCATAGGAAATCTTACACTTTGTGGTGCCGCTGCTCTTGGTGGGGCAGGGCCTGGTGGGCCAAGGCTCAGGGCTGTCAGTGGAGGTGCCACTTCCTGCACTGATGCACTTTGTTTCTATCGTTTTTGTGGTTAATTTAACCTTTAATGGTACTGATGAAATTAATTCGGGTGCCTGTTTGTATGAAGCCCCTTGAATGTCCTGGACTTTGGAGAGCCTCCTGCCTGGAATAAGTCCCAGGGGTCCCCAGTAGTGAGGGGAAGGGGCACATGAGTGCCCTTGTTTCCCCAGCGCAGGCGGAACCCAGGTCTTGTTTTGGAAGCTTGCTTTCCCTATCACAGAACAGTTTCCTTCTGAGCTAGAAACAGAGCTGGGAACCGTTTCTTTTTCAATGTGGCCTTAGACTGCTGGTACTTGGCATTTGCCATATGATAGTTCTTTATCAAATCTGGGCACTTTCTCCCAAGGCCTGAGGCTCCCCTCTGACAGGAACACATCCCCTGCCTCTTTCTCCCTTTATCTCTTCCCACCCCCGCCCGAAAAAACCCCTGCAGTTAGTAAGTGTGTTGCAATGGCTGTAGATAATTTCAGTGTATAGTACAGGTTCTGAGAGAGAGAGAGAGAGAGAGAGAAAGAGGGAGAGAGAGAGAGACTGACTGTGTTTTTCCACAGCAAAGAGAAAACTAGTCTGAGTATTTATTTAGCACTATAGATTCTTCTACTTACGTAAATGCTTGACAGTTTAATTGGTGGTGGCCTTATTAGTTCTTTTTTCAGCCTTAATTTTAAATGTTAATCCACATTTATAAAGACATTTAAAGGAAGGTGCTTTTTTCCCCCTGTATAATATTAGCTAACCACTAATCTGTGGGAAGAAAGATTGGCTTTAAATTTCTTTTCTTTTTTCTATATGTGAGCTCCAGTTTTCTCATCTTTATTTTTAAACTTATTTATTGTTTCTATTTATTTAATTTATTTTCTTCCCCTGGTTTTTAATTTCTTAACTTCTCTTTGAGCAAGTAAAGTCTTTATTTCTTGGGATCTGTTTTTCATAAAATTACTGGTTTGGGCACATTTTATTTCAGTGTTAAAGTTCTGTACTTTTACTTAGACTTTCAGAAAAGGTTTACTGTAGTATTTGAACCTGCTTCAGATCCCCATTTTTTTATTGGCCTCAGTCAGTCTCCATAGAAAGCTGAATTGCATTGCTGTCTTGAATTCTGCTGTTGGCTAGTTGCACTTGTAACCAAGTCCATGTTGTTTGCAGGTTTGTTTAAAGAAGAAAACCCATACGCCAGATTTGAAAACTGAAACACACTCCTGCCGTGTCGAGTCCCACAGGCGCTCCTAGGGACAGCAGGCTGCAGGCCTGGCCGCCCCCGTCCTGCCTGCTGACCTTGATGGAGTGAGCCTGATGCAGCTGCCCTGAATGCTGTCCGTTCTTGTGAGCTTCTGTGCCCTTTCCTGTTTCTGTACTTAGTCACTTGAGATATTTAAGCCTGTGCACGTGGGGGAAGTTGCTTTTGTTTTTGTTGTTAATTTGAGGAGGAATCATGCACATTCCACGTCTCAGTTTGTAAGCTGATTGCACACCGACAGCCACAACACTAACGCCATCCTCCTGCTGCAGCGGCTCAGACCTTCTTCCCATCCACCCACTAACAGCTCCACACCGCAGCCGGGAGAGTCATCTCTGCGAGTGATGTGGGAGGGTCGGCCAGTCCCTTGTCATCTCCCCCTGAAACCACAGGTGCGGGCCTCGAGTCCCTCTGCCCCGTCTCCCAAATGTCAATTCTGGTGGCTTTCCGAGTCCAGGACACAATGTCAGTGACCCTACTTCCTAGGCTGTGGTTGCATTGAAGAACATGGAAGAGTGAACTCATTGAAAACCTTTTTAAATATATTCCATTGATTTTTTTTTTTTTTTTTACAGAGAGGAAGGGAGAGAGATAGAGAGCTAGAAACATCGATGAGAGAGAGTCATCGATCAGCTGCCTCTTGCAAGTCCCCCACTGGGGGTGTGCCCACAACCAAGGCACATGCCCTTGACTGGAATCAAACCTGGGACCCTTCAGTCCGTAGGCCGACGCTCCATCCACTGAGCCAAAGCAGTCTCAGCTCATGGAAAACCTTTTTTTAAAAAATCCTAGGTTTATTTCCCCACCTAAAAGATTTCACCAGGAAACTTCACTATCAATGTTCAGACCATGCATTGTATGACATTTTAATTTGTATCTTTAGCAGACCATGAAGCTTGTTATCCAATGAAAGCCTCTATTATAAATGAAGTTTTGAAACAACCTCCCTAAGGCAGAAGATGGGTGCTCCCACGCTCCTGCTCGCTGTTCTAGCCCCAGTGACACAGGTGTCAGTCCAGTTGTGAGGTGCTCGGAGCTCTCCTGCCATTGGGCTGTGTGCCAGCCCTGGGAAGTGGGGTGTCCGGGGCCAACTGAGGGAATCTCCACACACTACACAGAAACAATGGTGATTGTCCGGCTTCTAAGATGACCCTGGCTCTGAGCCGCACTCCTTTAGCTCAGGCGTGTCCTGAGACTTCCCTTTAGAGGTCGGTTCTCACAAGGTCATTGGCCTCCGGGTGCCCTGTGGCACCATATAGGATGGCTCCATTTCTTTCAGAGCAAGAAATGTGGCTTCAGTTATAGACTGAACTCATGGCAGGGACAGCAGCAGACAATGAAGGGACAGTGGGAGCCGCCTCTCTTAAATCTGAACATACTCCCCAGCGCCAGATTGCTTTGAATTAGAAAAACATTCAGCTTCGGGAAAGTAGGCCAACAGGTACACAAAAGAAGCCATGCATTCAGTCTTCAAACTCCTGCTGCTCTCCCATCACATCAAGTTCACATGCAGACCTGGATGATCAAAACAGCATGACACGCCTTGAACCACGGAGACCGGTGCTGGGAATTAACGATTCTACAAAACTGAGAAACTAACCTTTCACAGCGTCTGTAGTCTTATTTCTCTCACCCGGGCATTTGGCAGCAATTTACAGTGTTATGAAACATTCCTTACTATTTTAAAGCAGCCTAATAATTTTTACTTTCTGCTGTGTATTCATCGGAGGAATTTTGTAATCGACTTTAATGAACTTTGTATTAACATAGTCATTAGTATGTATGTAAAATTACTCAATGTAAGTTGCTGAGCTGACAGTAGAGCTAGGGGTTGGGAAATACAGTGAGCACAGTGTATTTAATCCTTTCACGAGACATGGAGCCCTCACCAGGGCGTCTGAAGGCCACCCCAGTCCACATGCTTTTCTCTGAAATAGTTCTGAAAGCAACAAAAAATTATAACCTCAAGAAACCACAATGTTTGGAGTGCCTTAATTTTTAACCAGTTTCCAATAAATGGTTTAATACATGCTTTTGCTGAATACTCTGTGTTGCTTGTTTCATTTCTTAGTGGTATTGATATGGCTGTAGATTCTCCTCAACTAACAATGGGTTACATCCTGATAACAACACATTCGTTCTAAGTTGAAAAAGTGTGTGATTTTGCCCACCTAACAGACCCAGCATTAGAGCTCAGCCAAGTTCACAATGACATGCTCAGTCGCTCACCTGAGCTTGCAGTTTGACAGGGAAGACAGACATGTCAGTTGTCAGCTGTTTTTTTTGTGTGTGTGTGTGTTTTTTTGTTTGTTTGTTTGAAATATATTTTTAATGACTTTCCACAGAAAGGAAGGGAGAGGGATAGAAAGAAACATCGCTGAGAGAGAAACATCGATTAGCCGCCTCCTGCAAACCCCCTACTGGGGATGTGCCCGCAACCAATGTACATGCCCTTGACCAGAATCAAACCTGGGACCTTTCAGTCCGCAGACCGATGCTCTATCCACTGAGCTAAGCCGGTTTCGGCGGGTGTTAGCTGTTTTGATCCTTGTGATCACATGGCTGACAGGCAGCTGCAGCTCACCCGCTGCCCAGAATCACAAGAGGATCACACTGCATGTACTACCCCAAGAAAAGCCCCAAAGTACAGTTTCTGCTGGATTTGTATTGCTTTTGCATCATTGTAAAATTGAAAAATCGTAAGTCAGAACCATCATAAGTTAGGGACTGTCTGAACTTGGAGAGTGAGGGCAGTGAGGCTTTCTAGATACAGATAGACTTCTAAACCCACCGTGTGATATGTGAGCACTCTCAGCTTTCATACCCTGGCTGACTGGGAATGACCATGCCTTCCCCCGAAACTCCCGTGCTCTTGCCCTCAGCCCCCCCCCCAGCCAGCTGTTAGCTCTCTACTCAGTGCAGCACCTACCCCTACCTCCCTCCCACCCGACCCCACCCCCCTACACACACACACACACATACCACCAACCTAGATTTCCCTACTACTTAGCTGGAATCGGATACAGAGAACCCCAGGAGAAAGCAGTTCTGCCTTTGAGCTTTGCTCCTTGGTGACCATTTGAAACACATAGCTATCAACAGGCACTCAGACTCCGCCCCTCTCCTTTAGGGGTTCTTCAATGCCTGGTTCAGGGAGAGCAGCCCATCCCTCTGAATTGCTGCTGAGCCATTTTTACCATTGCGTCAGTCATTGGAACTCTGGGACTTCCTCTGTGCTGAGTTTGTGTCTGGAGATGGTGGTCAGTCCTGAGGGAAGTGTAAGCCTGCCCCGCTGGACCCAGCTGTATTCTACCACTTCCAGGTGAAAGGACACAGGGCAGGTCAACTCTAGCTCCTTTGCTCTGAAACATCTAGAGGTTACCGGCCTCCATCTAGAATGTGGGAAGCAGGAGGCCGTGTCTCTACTCCAGGTGTGGTGACAGGGTAACCTTGGACCTGGCCAGTTCTTAAAGTCTCCAGTCTGCGTGGGAAGCTCACATCAACCTTGGCCTCATTTAAGAACTCGGATGGTGGTGAGACCTGTTTGGAAAGATAAGGACAGTGAGTGAGATGCTTCGTCATCGTGCCTACTCTTCAGGAAAAATCACTGCCAGTTAAAAGGTGAAAAGTTGGATGGGGAGATAGTGGCTGTGTCCCCATCACCTGGTTCCAGAGCTGGTCCATGTCGCAGGGCTCCATTGTGTGTGCATCTGTGCACATGGCCACTGCCTCCCAGGTGGCCTTGCAGCGCCCATTCCATCCCCTTTGGGGGCCCTGTGTTCCAAGCCAAGTGCATTCATGCTGCCTTGGCATGGGATGTGAGTGAACTGTGGAGTCAGTTCTTAGAAGAATTCTGGGTCAAAGTGTCCATGGTGCTTATTTTAAGTGTTGGTAGAATTCTGCCCAAGTGCCCACCTCACTTGAAGGGGTCTGTAACACTTTGAAAGATGGGTGGAGGTAAGTATGCCCAAACCAGAGCCTCATCTGGAATTCAGTTCTCTGGGTAGGTGGGAGCTCAGGCCCTGTGCCAGAAACCGATCATTGTCTCACTAATAGAAAGATGTAAAAGGCTGATCAACCTTGAAGCTCTGATTGAGACTATGGTAACTGAGGTAACTTCCCCATCAAATAACCATGTAAATCCTTACTGATGTGATAATCCATTTATTACCTGCTTAAGGGTTATGGGTGTATCCCATAGTCTCTATAAAAGGGATAACAAGACCAGAATCTAGCAGCAGTCCTCCCCCTAGAGGTGGGCTCCCGCTGTGTCCCCCATATTGCCAAGTTAAATTTCTTCCAGTCTCTTTCACTTGTGTGAGGCCCTTCTCCGGAACCAGAACCCTGAACAGAAACCCTGAACCACGCCGGATGTGAAAGGGGTTCCTACAGCCGTGTGTGTGTGTGTGTGTGTGTGTGTGTGTGTGTGTGTGTGTAGTGTGTGTGTGTGTGTGTGGTACAGTTGACAGTGCAGGCAGATGCTGAGAGCCCTAGGACCCTGGCGGCTGAGAGCAGCAGGCCTGACCGCTGGTGGGAGAGGCAGGGAGAACAGGGAAACCTGAGTGTTAGATACTCTGTCCTGCCAGCACTTTGGCCAGGTGGTTCTGTCAGTTTCTGAGAAATGAGAGCAGGAAGGAGGCAAGACAAGCCCTGGACCTGCCACTGTGAGTGGTCCCGAGGCGCCCCAATCTCCCCACTCTCCATTCTAGGCCCCCTCTCCACAGCTCCCCTACAGATCCGGCTGTTCCCGCAGTGCTGGGCAGGGACCACATCCTGGCCAGGCAGTGGCTGATTCAGTGGTCATTCGTGCTCACTCTAACAGGAGACACAGCAGCTGGCCCCTGAGTCCCGCAGACTCGATGCAGCCTGATACCCCCTTCTCTCACAGTCAGCATTGCCACTACTGAACATTCTCTGGCCACCTGTCCACTTGGAGGAGCTGAAGGACCCAGC